TACTATTATTTTCACTCTAAAAATAATAATAAGTGGATCCGCTAGCCAACAAGACTATAGTTGTCACTGAGGCAACTTTGATTAAAGTTGATAAGAATATCATTTAAATTATTAAAGTTATTCTAATCAAATTTCACTTTTCAATGTATCATTGTTAAAGATCTTTTCTATAAATCTGATTTGCCAGATCTTCTGTTTGAATTCTTAGCTCCTTCACTAATATTCTGATTCAATTAATTATATTATTCAAGCAATTAATAACTTTTGAATAATAAAACTATTATTCCAGTTCTAGCCCTTAAAGGAGAAGATGTTGGTCCTATCAAACATAGAGCATCTTTCTATGTTGAATCTTAATTCTCCTCTGAGTTCTTCAAGACATCCTCATCTTCTGATGATGCTTCCTAAATACTTTCCTTTCCCTCACACAGTGTACCTTTATATGATAAAAACAGCTAATACCTTTTAATAATATTCCACCTTATTCAAATCTAATTAATTAATTTTTTTTTATCTTCTAAAAAACTGATTTTGATACAATTTCTGCAATCTAATTGATTTTTAAATTGCATAAAGGCTTAAATTGATCACTATATACTCTACATAATAAAGGAATTGAATTTCTCCAAATTGCTTCTTCAAACTCTGGAATTTATTTCATAATCATTTATAAAGTTTGGATTTTAATAAATGTGGCATTTATGACACAATCAGCCACTAATGATGTTTAATATCTAATAGAAGGTGCTACCAACATATAAATTGGAGTAGCCTCATTTAAAGTTCTTTTCTCTCTAATTTTTGATCTATCACTGAATTCATTTCCAGCCCCTCTAGTTATAATGCAGATTTCATTCGCTCTATCTCCTTCTTTAAAAATCAATTAATCTCTGCCAAAAGAATCTTCCCTTGAACCCTCTAACAATTTTTGTATGTTAGCTTATGTAAGAGATTTAAATAATTCATGTTAAGTAAGTATATCAATCAATGAAGGCATTTGCCAAGGAGGATTTAATTCATTCAAATTTTTAACTTTTTTATCAATATTTCTTTTCATTCTCAAAAATTCCTTATCATTTAATTAACCAGATTGTAGATTGTTCCTTAATACTTATTTTTCAAATTCTAAAATTTCAAAGGCAGCTTTTTTTGTATGTAATTCCCTTGAAATTTCAGGAAATGATACTTCTAAATATCCTTCTAAATAAGAAATTGCAGACTTTTTATTATCCTCAACTTCATTTAAGATCACTAACAATAGATTTTATGAAAAATGATAATGAGATGCTTCCTCTTTTAAAATTTAAATTGCTTCAATATATGCTGAAACAGCATCATATATTGTATAGATATATGAAAATAATTGATTTCTAGCTAGTATACCTATTAGAAATTTATCTTTCATATAAAATAGTAAATTTATATATCTTTCTGAAAACTAACTTTATAAGAATTCCCATGAATTCATATGTTCTTTATCATTATCAAGATCTAAATTGGCACTTTCAGTCAAAAGAATAATTGTATCAGGACTACATTAATTAGATTCAAATTATTCCATATAGATTCCTTTCAATGCCATAAGAAAAATTCTTCTGATTTCTGTTAATAAATTTTAATCTAATTCTTAATCTTCTTCATCATCCATTAATGGTTAATGAATGCTTTTCATTTGAATTTCTTTTTATGCTTTTTCATGTTTAGCCAATTTATCAATAATTTAATTACAATCTGATTAATAGACTTTATAACCACTAAGAGTTTTAACATATTCAACATCAGCTTCTTTTAAATATTTTAATTCATTATTTTTTTTACATTCCTATTCAATTTCTTCATTCAACTTAGTTAAGAAATTAGAATAAATCTTTTCTCTTATATCAGATTATGTAGATAATCCCAATAATTTAATTAATAAAGAGAGAGTAGTACCATTTACTACAAGAGTACAAACAGCAATTCCTGACATATGAAATAAAATAATATCTCTCCATTTAGTTGGTAATGATTCATCCTTGGCAACAATTAAAGCAAAGGCTATACCTATAGATCCTCTCAATCCTCCATATGTTAAAACTAATATCTAAGACCATGTTAATCCATAGCCTAATTTTTTCAGCCATGGATAAAATACTGCAATTGAAATAAATCTGCATACCATTAAACACAACCAAAGAGCTATCATTTTGTAAAAATCCAATTATGTTATTTCACTTTCATCCTTAAATACTCTAATTCCTGCAATAATTCCACCCAAAATAAAAATGATAACCTCACTTGCAAATACAACATATTCCCAAAATTCTCTTAATGCATGATCTGCTTCATGAGATATACGAGATCTTCCAAATGCTGCCATAAATAAACTTAATGATACCAATCCTAATACACCAGATATGTGTACTCCAAAATCAACATTCTCAGATATAAAATATACTAAAAAGGCTGAGACTATTGTTATATTTAATACTAGTATCTCATCATTTGCTATTTTCTTTATCCAATAAACACATGCCATTCCAAATACTAATCCAATCAATGTTCCACCTACACATAATGTAAAAAATAAAGATCCTACATCAAATGCTGATGCAGATCTTCCTCTAACTATTCCATAAGATATCTAAAATAACATTACACAAGCTCCATCATTTAACAAACTTTCTCCTTCTATCAAACTCTAAAATCTCTTCTATGCTCCACTCTCCTTTAAAACAGCCAATACTGCAACCGTATCTGTACAACTCAACATTGCTCCAAACATGAATGCACTTTCCCAAGTGAAATAGTCATCCCCATAGTTTAGTAATACTTTTACCGACAATTACAATAATGTAGATAAAATTATCACGCAAGGAAATGCCAATATTGCAGTCTAAGCAAACAGTCTCTTGAATAAATGCCAATCGAAGTTATAACCAGATTCATAAATTAACGTTGGTAGGAAAATCAACAATACTCCAATCTGAAAACATACATCCCTAAATTAGTACCGGTTCAATTTCGCTAATCTTTTTACAACTTTGACCTATTAGACCTAATGAATCCCAATAAAATCCGAAAAACAATCCCAAAACGAATAACATTGGAGAAAATGGAATCTATAGAAATTTTCATAAATTTTACTTTCAATTTCTTATTAATCTCCTTCATGAATGATCCAATTCCCAAAAAAAAGAATATAAAGAACACTGACAATGCTGTTCCACTAATGTCTGAACTGGTTGAAATTGGTTGATCTTCACATAATCCAATTCTGATCATTAATAAAACTATGCCTGCTTTATAGATATACATATATATATATTAATTAATTCATTATAATCAATATAAAATTTTAAATAAAATATTCCTAAAATTATTTTTCAAAATAATATCACATTATAATTTAAATGAATAATTATTATACGAGCTTTTAATTATTTAATTATCTTTAATTTAATCTCTTACTTTCCAAATTTATATAATTATAATTTTATATATATAAAGGAAATAATTAAGTTGATTTTAAAAAGAAATATAAAATTTATTCATAAATTTATAACTATTAGAGTTTAATATTTTATATAATTATTTTATATAAATTGTTATATATTTATGAAGTTTTGTATCTTTAAGTTAATAAGAAGTTTAACAATTTTAATTTCAATTATAATCACTATATTTAAATCTTTCAGATACTTTTGGTTGAGATATACTACTAAACTCAGATTAAACAGTGTTGAATTAAAAGGTATTTTATTCATTTGATTATCTCATTTGTCCTGGATTGTTTATACTTTGTTTAATTTGGTGTCTACCAGATGATTGTGCTTAAAGTTCATTAATGTCTGTATTAAATCTCTCAGCAGATAACTATTAATACTTTTCATTTATATACTGGCAACTGTTATAATGGAGGGACAGAATTTTATGGTTATTATCTTTATTATTAATCATTTCTTAATAATATATTTGCATTTTGATTCATATTCTCTGTATTTAATATTAATTTAGAAATTTCAGGTTAATTATTTTAATTATCATGTCCATTTTATTGATAACTTTATAGCATAAAATCTCTCATTTTTTATAATTGATGTTCTAATCCAAAGATTTTCTCTTGATATACATCAATTATATGAGATATTTATTTTTCATATTCTTAAATATGATGATCTTTTTTTTAGATAAGTGCTTCTTTAAAATTGATTTCATTTTATATTTCTAATACTTGATGTTACAGTTATTCAATTTTAATTGATTGTAATTAATTTTTTCCTTATAAATCTTACACTGTTTACAATATTTTAGAGTTTTCATTTAATAATTTATGATATTCTTTTTCAAATAATTCTTATTTAATTTGAGCAGAATCATTTCTCTTATTTTCTTATTCTAAACTTTATTCAACTAAATTTGATTATACAATTTAATTATCTTTTTTCTGATCAAAATTTGTTAATTACTTCTACAATTATTCAAGTTGAAAGTATAAACCTTCTTTTTCTCTTCTAAGTGTCATATTATCATTTTATAAAGCTATTAGCTAATTATTTAATAATTCATATATACTTGAAATCTCAATTCAGATTTTTCATTATTCGATTTCTCAAGTTATGAATTGAGCATATTAATCATTTTAATTTATTATTCAGATTTTAATATCAATATTTAAACAGCTTCCTCATTATCCATTTTAATATTAAAATAAATATTTTTAATTTTTATATCATATATATTATTAGAATTCTAAGAATTATTTATCTCTATTTACTACTTTTTAATCATTTATATTAAATATATTTGTTTTCTTTGAAATATCCATTCAAACATAAATTACTTTTTAAGTATTAATATTCTAAATAATAATTATAACTTCTTTAATTAAATATCTAACATATAATCATAAATATTAATTTCTTAATTTATATCATAATGAAATATTTTATATATAGAGTTATTTTGATTATAATAATATTATGTGGATTCCATATTATTTCATTTTTTATATTATTTTAATGTCTTCTATACACCCTACAAATACAGGATTGCTTGATAAAAATGTCACTCAAATGAAAAAGTAAATTTGGTATTAATAATTGCTATTCACTTGGGTTTATCCATTATTATTCGTAAGATATTTGTTTCATTTTTAGATTGGTAAAAATCAACCTTTGCGTTAGTAAGATCTATATAGAATCAATCAAAATGATTCATCAATTGTTTCTTTCAAAAGATTTCACTACTATTTTTCGAGATACTTTATATCCTTTAATGGTTTGTAAAAATCATTATTTTTGTCTTTTATTGGTAATTTATCACTAGAATATCAAAGGTTAATTATGTGTATGCTTAGTATTTTATTTTATAAGCGTATCACTATTTCTTTGTTAACCATTCATAACTGAATAGTCATAAAAATTCTTTATTTATGAAACAGATGATGAAAAGCCTTCAATATAAAAAATGCTTATATTCTCATTTTTGTTCTTTATTTATATGTTTGCAATATCTTTATTAAAGCCATTTTAACTTTTTTAATAAGTAAATTGATATTAAATAAATAGTCATTATTAAGTATAAAGATTTAAGGAGCTTTATAATAATAAATTCTAATTAAAACTTTAAAATTTCCAGTCATAAGATCATAACATTATTCAAGTGGAGAACTAATTAATTTACTATAAGTAGATATAATGCAAGCATCAAATTATTATTAATCTTGTTTTTAATTATTTTTATCTCCAATATTTTTAATTGCTACTGTGGCAATCTTTTATATGACATTAGGAAAGTAAGCTTTAGTTCCAGTTATAGGAACAATAATCCAAACACTTTTTGGAATACTTTTTGGTTATTATTATGGTGTAATTTAAAAAAGATACATGAATTGTAAGGATCTAAGAATGAAATCTGTAGATGAGGCCTTAATCTTTTCAAAATAATTGAAGTTAAATTGTCTTGAAGAATATTTTGAAGAAAGAGTAAGAATATTATAATTATTAGATAAAACATAATAGAGATTAAGAATTAAAATATTTAAAATATTAAGTCTATTTATAAATATTAATTCTTTTTATGTAATGTGCATTAAGTGTAGCAACTTATGAATTTTGGTTTTTATTTGCTGATGAATTAAATTTTGGTATTGTAACAATAATGATGCAAAATTATTAAAATATAGCAATGCTTTTAAGTGAGTTACCAAATTAATTAAGAAATTTTTAGACTTCACGAAATTCTATTAATAGATTATCAAATTATTTTTAATAAAATGAAATTCCTATAAACACTATAGCATATAATAATGCTAATGAAAATTCAATAGAATTCATTAATTCTGAATTTGATTGGTAAAATAATGATAAATTTGTTGATAATTGTAAAGAGGATTAAAATTAAGATGAAAATGTAGATGTATTTGGAGTTAATATTAATTTATCAATAGGAAAAGGGAAATTTATTGCATTTGTAGGAGGGTATTTAATATTTATTGATTTAATTAGATCAGCTTCAGGAAAATCAACAATTTTAAGATCAATTTTGGGGGAAACAAATAATTTAGGAGGTTAAATTAATTTGAATGGTTCTATTTCAGTTGCTATGCAAGAACCATGGATTATTAGTGGTAGTATAAGATAGAATATAACTTTTTTAAATGCTTATGATAGTCTTAAATATAAGAAGGTTATATAGATATGTGGATTAGATAGAGATTTGAAATCTTTTAAAAATGGAGATGAAACAATACTTGGAGAAAAGGGAGACAATTTATCTGGAGGATAACAAAAAAGAATCAATTTAGCAAGGGCTGTTTATAATGATGCAGATATTTATTTGTTAGATGATCCATTAAGTTCTTTAGATATTAAAGTAAAATATTAAATACATTAATAATGTTTTAATGGATATTTAAAAAATAAAACCAGAATTTTATTTACTAATTCAATTTCCAATCTTTAAGAATGTGATATGATATACATTCTTGAAAATGGTCGTATTGTAAAGTAAGGAACATTTGCATAAATTAAATATGATATTTCATAATCATAATCAGATGAATAAAAAGAATATATTGATATTAAATTTGAAGAATCTTATTATCCAAAAGAAGTAGAATAAAAATAAGAATTAAGAGCAAGTCTAATTGTTGAAGAAGATTAATAATAAGGATCAATTTCTAAATTAGTCTTTAAATAAATATATAAATATTTAGGGAAATGCTGGTTGTTTATTATCATATTAGGTTATTTTGTTACAACTGTTGCTGGTTAAATGTTTGGAAATTCTAAATTAGCTATGGATGGAGTAAGTGATGATGAATTTCGATCAATTGCATTAGTTGCATATTTAATCATTTAATTTCCTACATGTACTGTTGTAGTACTATTGAAATTATACTATTTATATAGAGGTTTAAAGACTTCTAAACAATTACATGAAAAAGTTATTAACAGTTTAGTCAATGCTTCATACACTAAATTTTATAATACTATTCTTATTGGTAGATTAATGAATCGTTTAAGTAAAGACATTTATAATATTGATTTATTGTTTCCTAATGAAGTATACAATCTTACAAGTTGGTTAACAACTCTCTTATTACCTTTAATTGCTTGTTATCTCTATTTAAATGTTATTGCTCTTCCAATATTAATAGTCTTCTTTATATTCATTATTTATTTAACAATCATCTATTATAGATGTTTAAGAGAAGTTACAAGAATTGAATCAGTTTCAAAATCTCCAGTTTTTAGTCTATTTTAATAAATAGTTAGAGGTAGTTCATATGTGAGAACAAGTGTACCATATGAAAAAATTATAAAATAACAATAAGAAAATGTAGATATTGATTTAGGTAATTAAATCTGTTTAAATGGTTTCTAATATTGGTATTAATCATTAGCTGGAACATTAACAAATATATTTTAAACAATACTATTTATCATATGTGTAAATATATGATTTATATTTAGTTTTTATATCCTGGCAAAACTTAAAAAATGACAAATATGGTTTTGTCATAAATGCAAGTTGTTTCTTAATTACTCTTAAATGCAACAGTTTCATATGGTAATATTCAAATGTATGGTATCTCTTTTGAAAGATGTCTTCATTTAGCTAAGTATATTAATATATATAATTATTAAGTAACATTGAATTAGAAGAGAGGAACACTAGTTTTATTACTCCTTCTGATGAAAATGAGAATCAAAAAAATGAAAATTTTATAAATGCGATTGAATTTGACAAATGTTCTTTTTAATATAGACCTAATTCCAAATGCATACTTTCTAATCTGAGTTTTTCAATTAAATTAAATGAAAAAGTAATTATTCCTATTATTGTTAGATTGGAATAGTAGGAAGAACAGGAGCAGGAAAAAGCTCTATTATTTTAGCTTTGACTTAAATATTAGATTAAACATATGGATCAATAAATATCTTAGGAAAAAATATGAATTCATATAAAATTTCTGAACTTAGAAAATAATTTTCTATTATCCCATAAGATCCACTTGTTTTTATGGGATCACTTAGAAATAATTTAGATCCAGAAAATAAATATGTTGATTCTACTATACTTAAAGTTTGTGAGATTTGTTAATTATTTGATCTTGAATCATTTAAACAATAGTGTATTTATTTTTACTATGTTTTAAGAATTACTTAGTGAAATATAAGTTTAGGGTAGTAATTTAAGTTAAGGAGAAAAATAATTATTAAACATTGCAAGATGTTTATTAGATAATTAAAAAATTATTTTAGTAGATGAAGCTACAGCCAGTATAGATGGTCCAACTGAAGAAAAGATTAAAGATGTAAATATTATATTAATATTTATAAAGATTTTTGAATAACACCTATCTTAATGTACAATTCTTACAATTGCCCATAAAGTTACCACTATTATGAAATCTGATAGAATAATGGTTCTTGATGATGGAAATATTATTGAATTTGATACTCCTTTAAATTTACTATAAAATGAAAATAGTGAATTCAAACAAATAATTGAATTAATTAAACATTCAGAGAAATTATGATTATATTAAATCTAAAGAATTTTAGTAAATTTTAAAGTTAATTTAATAAAATTTCAAGATTATTTAGTTTTACTCTTTTTTTTTATTTTCTCATCACTTTTTCCTACCAATTAAGAATTTGATATTTTTTAAGAATGATACAAAGTTGGGGATTTTAATTTCTTAACAGAAGGCTATTTTTTAGATTTCTTCTTTTTTTATTAATGTCTAAAATTTATTTAATATTATACTACTAATTAGATTTAAGTTAAGGTTCATCTATAATTTCATCTTAACTTGAATTTGAGAATTATGGATCAAATTCCAATTCATCAACTCTCCTTCTTGAATTTTCAAATTATTAATCTTGTTATTCTATTTATGTTATAGGTTATTATAATTAGGATTATGAATTTGTATTATTATTTATTTTAATTTCTTCCATTATTTTCTAAAATTGTTATGGATTTTAAAGCATATAATCAGAAAATAATTACATATCTCTTTAAATTTCAGTTGTTCCTGTAAAATTCTATTATGGTTATTATCCAATTGGAGGTGTTAAAGGTCGAAATACTTAATTATGAGGTCTTAAAGTCTTCAAAACTTAATCTTCTACCTCTCCTTTCCTTTAATCAAAAACTTATCTATTTCCACTAGATCTTCTCTCTTAATTTTGTTTTCCTATTCCTACATTTGGAGTTCTACTACCAATATGAGGTGATATAGTTTTAATTCTCTCTTTTAATATTGGTATTTTTCTAAGATCATCATATTCATTCCATTCTTCATCATCAACTTCAATAATTCCCAAATCATCTAAATCAATAGGATCATCATCAAGAATATTTTTATTAATATTTTAATTTAAATTATTACTTTATTTCATACTAATTTCCTTATCTAAAATATCAGATTATTTAATTTTGCTTTCTTATTAAACTTAATACATAAATAATGTTTGTAAACATTAAGACAGCACTTCTTAATCAACTTTACGGATCCATAAAAAGTCTTCTTGATTTAATTCAAATTCATCCATAGATGTGGATCCAAATGTATCTGATTACATCATTAAATCTTTAACAGAATTCTATCTCTAAAATAATTATTATATTATATTTTCTGATTATCTATTAATTTAATCTCTTTATTTATTTTATCTATGTCTTAATTAATTGTATTGTTCTGCCATCTATTATATAATTCTAATTGCTATTTATTCAGGAGTACATAATTAAATCATAACAATTGACATTAATTATAATTACTTATTTTAACTATTCTACAATTTGCTAGCTTGTTCAAAAAAAGAAGAGTTAATAGATGGAAAAACTCTAATGTTTTTGCCTGAATCTAAACCAAAGATATATCCACAAAATTTTAATATGTTATATTAATGCCAAGGTTCCTAACAATCTAATTTTTCCTATGTCCATACAAAAATCTTTTCTATAAAATCATCAAGTTTGTTAGAATTAGGCATTTTATTTAATAATTATCCCCATTAATTAAGAAGATCAAAAAATAATACATATATACTATTAAAAGGAGTGTCTATTAAATCTGATACTTCATTCCAAAGACAAGATACTTCTTCTAAGACTTTAGAATATTCACTCTTTTAAAATTTAAGATTGAAAATGTTATTCAAAATAAGCAATGAATTTAATATACATTTTGAATCAGTCTTATCTTAAAGAGAATAAGTGAGGATATCTTTAATAAATTTTACAAAAATAATTCTATCTTCAAAAATTTTAATTCTAGTACTTGTTTCAATATTGATATAACAATCTACTAATAATTAAAGTGTTAAATGACCTTTTTATCTAATTTTAGAATTGAGTGATTTAATTAAATTAATTAAAGATTAAATAAAATCAGGACTATTTTAAATTAATTATGCTACAACTTTAAATTATTATCCCATATCTGAAAACAATTCACAAATAAATTATACTTTTTCATTGAAAATTTCATATTCTTATATTAATTACTTGTTGTCAGATTTAAATTCTTTCTTATCTTTTTCTCTATCTTATTTATATTCCTTTTTATAATCTAATATTAAATTAGATTATATTTAAGGTTCTTGATTTTCAATTAGACAAACTTATATCAAAGAATTGAAATGAGATTAATATTAAACAATCATTTTGATAAAATTTAATTTAGATTATTTTTAAGCTTATCCTTTAACTGTATATTAATCAATTAATGCCATTACACATTTCTCAATTAATGCCTAATCCAAAAATTCTTAACTAAATGCAATTAAAATGTCAAATATTTTAAATGTTTCATCATGAATACTATGAGGTACTCTTTAACAAAAAATTTCAACATATGAATAAATTTAAGATTCAAATTTCGATATCAATTAAGGACATTAAAATTAAATAGTCTTTAGTATTTTATCTAAAACAACTAAGATATCTTAACCAGGAGATGTAGTTTAGCATATAAGAAATATATTTTATAGAAATGGATTGATAAGTTCATACATTTAATCATATTCGTTTCCTTCTATTAAAATTTCAATTAAGATATTCCAAACAAGTTCAAAACAATCAAATTAAATTTTACCTTTAACAGTTTAATCTAATAATTTAATTAGAATAGGTTTTAAAATAATTAAGTTTTGATTAGCTGTAGTATAAAGTTATTTAATTTTTATAGTATTTGTTAATTATTTATTTAGAAATTCTTCAAAAAATGGTATTTAAGATTCTTCTTTTTATTATCTAATAATTATAGATATTAATTATAATAGTTTAATTATTTAATACTATTATGATTACTATAAATTATTATAATTAGTAAAATTCAATTATTCTATTAATTATTAATTAACCCAAGTAAGAATTTTACTAATTTTTTTTTCATTTTATTTTGGTATAATATTCTACAACACTAAATTCCATATCTTAGATTCTTCTACTTAATTTAATTATTTTAAAAATAAGATATCAATTCTAAAATGTGCTTAATCTGCTTATAATAAATATTCACAAATTTTCATTATTAACTTTTATCCTTCAATATTTACATCAAATAATCCTTGTATAATAATTTAATTCCATATATCTTAAATGAGTTTTAAGGTTGCTTAACTTAATTCCTATAATATCATATTAACTATTTTATAGATCATTTCAACTATTAATTACCCTTATTATTAAATTAACATTTTCAAAAATAATTTAAAAATTTAGATAATTTGTCCACCTAAGCCACAACCAAGTTATTCTATAATAAATTCAAGACATCTCATATTTGCCATTCTTAAAGCATCAAAATTTTGATTATCCTCTAAAAGAAGTACTCTACTTATAATTTTAATTAAATCATCTGAGAGTCTTAAAACACATTCATAAGAATCTGTATTTTATAATGTAAAAAGTAGCTGTGTTTTATCATATTAAACATTTATATATTATACAGCCTATTTTAATGCTTATAATTTTTCATTTAACATAGATGGTTAATTAATTGAATCAGCTATTAATATTTAAAGTCCACTTGCTCTTAAAAAATAGTAATCTTTTTATTTGACTAAAATTTATGCTTTTTCAGCATAAAAATTAGCAACTTTCTTAAATATTTCAGCAGCTTAAACAAATCTTCTTGAAGAAAGAAGAGATAAACCTAAGAGAATGTCTGCTTCTGCTTGATTAATTTCTCTATTATTTTTTTTGAAGATGTGGCTTATGTTTAAAAGGGCAACCATTTAATTAGCAGCAGGTGATTAATATAATTAATATCCATAAACTTAGATAGATAATTTAGCTTTAAGTTTATTTTCTAATTATTAAGGAGGTTCACATACACTAAAAGAAAGTCTAAGTTTTCTACCAAATCCAAGACCAACAATTTTATATTAACCATTACATTATTCAGCATTCATAACTTCTTTACTATTAATCAAACGATTATAATTTTAATCAAAACAATCTAAACATTCTAAAGATGTAAATGCAAATCCTTTAATTGAATTATCACTCCATTTCAAAATTAAATGTGTAATTAAACAATCTTCTTTTAAACTTATCTATAACTTCACATTTGCTTATTTACTATCTCCTTGTCTTTCATTAATTTAAACTTTAATTGCCTCTTAAGTAAGATCGAATGATGCCACACAAACATTACTTTGTACTAATTGCATATTGATAAATTAAATAAATAAAAGTTTAATATAATTATTCAGATAATATTTATGAATATATTATATATATAATCTTTAATAGACAATTTTTAATATTTCAATAAATACCAATCCAAATGATTTTATCCTTTAAATTTTTATAATACATAATGTAAGTATTTATCAATTATAATTAGTAACATTAATTCTCTTCATGAATATTAATCACTTACCATAAGACTGTTAATAAAGATTAGTTGATTTAGAAGCTCGTATATTTAAGAAACCAAAAATTGAAATTCTTGAATAATTCTAAAAAGAAAGTATTCCATCATTTCAAAGTAAGAATTTCATACATAATTTTAAGTTAAATCTACTAGAAAGTCTGTTTATGATTAAACACTCCTTAAATAATTACAAATTACTTAGTTTACCAAAAATGTATAAAATAATTAGCATTATAATAAATATAATAAAGAAACCTTAATTGAAGAAAATAATGAAACACATATAATTGATGAATTGAAAAGAAGTTTAAATGAATTAGCTATCAAAGATTAACATGTTAAACAATTATAAGAACAAATATCTGACTTAACACAATAAATTCAAGTATATCATAGTTAATAAAAATTAGAATTTTAAAACATCCTCATTTAAATATGATAATACCATTAAAACATTTGCAATAGAATTAGATTAACATTAGAGAATAAAAAGGAATTAATTAATTCAAAAGAATACTAAAAAATTTGGATAATTTTAATATACTAGAGAAAAAACAAAAATCATATAAGTATGGGTGGATAGTAAAGAAATATTAGAACTCAAAGAAAAATTGAAAAATTTAAGATAATAATTAGATTAATATGATAATTTGACCAATAATTAATTATCAAGAGAATCATTAAATTATTTGATACTTAAAAGAGAAGAAGAATATTTAGAAACATAACTAAATATTTTAGAAAATGAAAAATAGTTATTTATTAGAGATTTGAAATTAGAATATGATGAATAACATGCTAAATTTAAACGTACTGATTAATATCCAGTTATAGGAGAAAGATATATATTATTATCACTTTTGGGTAAGGGAGGTTTTAGTGAAGTATATAAAGTATGTTATATATATATATAATATAAGGGTTATGATTTAAAAGAGATGAAACATGTAGCATGTAAAATTCATTAATTAAATTCTAATTGGACTATTAATTCAAAATCATATTATGTTAAATTAGTAACAAAAGAATATAGAGTACATAAATAACTATAACATCCAAATATTTTATAATTATTTGATTCTGTTGAGATTGATTCTAATACTTTTTGTACAATTCTAGAATACTGTAATGGTTAGGATTTATCTTATTACATGAAGAAATATGGTATTATTGAGGAGAAGGAAGCAAAATTAATAATTTAGTAGTTGCTTGAATCAGTAAAGTATATACATCTAAATAAAATTATCCATTATGATATTAAACCTTAAAATATCTTATTTAATTAAAATGTTGTGAAACTTTGTGATTTTGGAGTATGTAAAGAATTAGACAATGAAATATCTCAAATTGAATATACAACATAAGGTGTTGGAACATTTTGGTATTTACCTCCTGAATGTTTTCTTTAAGGCAATAATACATAATTAATCTCAAATAAAGTTGATATTTGGTCAATTGGAGTTATCTTTTTTGAAATGCTATATGGATTGAAGCCATTTTGGAATGGTGAAAGTTAAGAAACAATATTGAAACAAAGAGTAAATATAATTTTAATAGTAGTTAATTGAGACTTCTATAAAAGTAAAATTTCCAGATAAACCAAATTTATCATAGGAATGCAAGGAGTTCATTGAGGGATGCTTAAATAATAAGGAGTAGGATAGATTTGATATTCATTAAGCTTGCAATCACCCTTATATGAGAAAATGAGTTTATAATTAAATGAGTTTATTTACAAATTCTTTTCGGAAGTTGTCACAATAACAATAAGAGAATGATTCAGTTAAAGTGTACTATAAAACAGATATGAAACAATATGCTAAAGTACGATATAACAGAGGAACTACTATTGGTTAAATTATTGAAGAATTGATTAAAGAACTGAATTTGAATGGTAAATATTAGAAATTAACTTAGGGAAGCTATAATACTAAATTTATCTATTAACACACAAAAAAAATGAACCATCTTTAGGGGGTATTAGCATAAAACGTAAATTACGTAGAAATGAGCAACCATATAAGATTTTATTATAAACAAAGGTTTACAAATTTTCATTTTACCTTGATTATATGCTTAGCTAATTAAGTTAAAATATTTATGATTCACAATTCAATTAGATTGAGAATTATTAATTTACCATATATGATAAAGAATTCAAAATTTATAAGATTACAAAGAAAGGAAGTTAAAAGCTAATGAAGATAAAAATAAATTCTTCAGGAACTGCTTTATGTTAAGAAGGAAGTATTAAAGAATTATTTTAAATAGATAAGAAATGGAAAAATTTATTGAATATTCTGATTGCAAATTTGATTTTGAAGAAGATCTTGTATTTACAATTACTTAAGAACAAGTAAACATTTATAAAGCTATAAATAAAAATGAATTTTATGCCATGTAATAAATTATTTAATTTTAGTAATAAGTTGATATATTAATATACTAAGAATACAGAAATTAAATATAAAATGGGTACTTTAGATAATAAAATTATAAATTGTACTAAATAAATTATGGAATAAATAGAATCTGATTGTTATGAATTCACATAATCTAAATAGAAGATGAAAGAAAATTCTAATTTCTAAATATTTTTTGATATCTATAAAATAACTTAAGTAAATAAAGATATTTCAGCCATTGAAAATGATGATAATAACATTAATTTTGAAATGTTTAGAGATTCAATATTAGAAACATTATCTATATTACCAAGAGAATAATATAGGAAGGGTCTTATTGTTTTTAATTCTTAGTATAAATATACAGCTAGTTGTAAAATAGAGGATTAAATTGAAGAATATGATAAGTTACTTTAACCTTTAGATTTTGTTGTAATTAGCGAAGAAGATATAAGAAAATATAGTTAATTTTTATCATGATATATTCTTTATATTTATTCATCGAAATTAGATATTTGTAATAAAGCTCAGTGTTGGATTTATTTTTCTAATAGGCTATAAATTCTTTGGCCTAATTATAATCTATTTTATTTTATACCATGCACAGTCGATTTGATGGCTGTTAATTCTTATTAATTTTAATATAAATGATCTGATATATATTTTTGTACACTATGGTCACATAAAACTAGAAATTTCTTTATAACATAATTTGCATATTGATGATTAGCTAAGACAACGAAATTGCTTGAACTAAATATAATTAAATTATTATTTTACTATTAATTTGGACTTCGACATAGAAGCCATTTCATCACTGCTATCAATTCTTATTTTCCTAAGACTTCCAAAGCTCGTTCAACAGTATTACTTAAAATAATATAATAAGATACCTTGCGTATTTATTAATGCTAAGCTAGTAAAATTACTATATAACTAATTGAACTAAATATCCTTTTTCTTAGCTTGGTTTCCAATATTATAAAATATGTTATAAGACATAATTTCCATATTCAGTTTAACTTAGTATACTATAATTCTACACAGATAATCTAATTATTCTACTTATTTGTTGTGGAGTATATTATTATATAATTTTATGAATAATTTTACAACCATAAATTTATTAGCCCATGTAATTAAACTATATAATTTAAATGTATAAATTTTACAGATTCTTCTACAATGGGAATTAGAAATTCCATTTTTAATTTGTCATAAGTTTCTAACATCTTAAAAATGACATAATTTCCATTCAAATCATAGATTAATGATCTCATATTAGATTATAATTGTTATAGAACAATCAATTATAAATCTTCACGATTGTAGGTGTATTCAATTAATTTTTACATTACTCTACATCCAAAATTATTCTTAGATAAGTCATAAAAATGAGATTTTAATTTATTAAACATTCTTAATTATATCTTTTGATTAGCTAAAACTTTAATATAAATTATACTGCATTCAAAGAGCTTTTAAACAACATAATTACCAAATACATCTTTTTCAATTTATGGACTTATACGTTCTAGTTTCTAAGCAATCAATTCTTTTTATTCCTAAGTTCCTTGTTCTAACATTTTTTATAATTTTCGACTTACAATCTGATTTCCCCAAAGTTAATCCTATATATATATGCAATATTTATTACAACTAAAGAGGTTACATAAAGATCCATTTCAATATCTGGTTCAAATTATACTTAAGGACTTTAAGATTCAAGAAGTGGAGAGTAAATTGGTTAATTGAGGTAACTATATTCATAAGACAATCCTTAAGGGATAGAGTGACCATCAATAATATCCTGAAAATACTCAGTCTCATTCTTTTCTGAATTCCAGAGTTCTTTGATTAATTATAAAGTTTAAGCATTAAGTGAAGGAGTATCATTTGAGCTAGGAGATTACATTTCCAAGATAGCATCCTAATTCTCTTCAACTCCTTGATTAATAGGTTCAGTCAGTTGCGGTTAACATGTTTTATGTTTTGGAGATTTACGTTTTTATTCTTTGGGTACTTTAAAACTTTAATGTTTCTATGCATTAAGTGTCCCAGGTACTTATAATCTGAATATATTCTCTTCTTATTCATCAATAGTGTCAATATTGAGACAGTTATTTTGATTCATTACACTTTCTTTAGGTGATGTGTCCAATGTCATTTATTCAAAGTCTGTTGTTAATGTATTACTCATTGGAGTCATCAAGCCTAAGTTCCCCAGTCTTGTTATAACATATAAATCCTTACTTAACTTTCTGCTATTCAGATAACTGTCCCTCTGCATTTTCGGTTTCTTGAAATTCCTTTAGCAACGAAGGCAGATAATCATCATTTTAGTTGTTCATATGGGGAGATTGAATTGATAAATAAAACAAAAAAAATCTTTTATATATTTTTTCATTCAAAATCAAACATCATTTAGCCTCGATTTTATGATAATAATGAATGTAGCTAAAACAACTAATGATTATATATATATATATATTTATAAATTTTATTGGAGAGTATATATACATATAATATTTTAAATTAGTACAAAAATGTCAGATGATGATGATGTTGAAATTATTCATTCAGGTCAATCTTTTGAAAGTTCACCTAAATAAGTATTTAACTATTAAATAATTCCTAACCTCTAATCTGATAATTAGGTAAATCGTTTTCTAAAATTTAGAAACTGTTATAAAGTAATAAGTCTTTAGAGATAGAGATCAAATAATATAAACAATTATTAGAATAAACATTAGAAACTTTACGATAATCTGAAAGAGATCAAAATACATTAAGTATTACTATTTGAGCATATATATTTTAGAACTTTAACTTTCTTAAAAGGATTTTCAACTTTAAGTGATATAAGCTAATGTAGAAGATCGTTAAAAAAGCTAAAGAATTGATTCACATAAAAAAATAAAAGACAGCAATTCTAGTAAAATATGTAAAATATTATAAGACCGAGATTCATTTGGTAATAAATAAACAAATGTGTCTTCTGTTGGTGGTTTTTTATCATCCACTTAAAGTCCTCGTTGTTAATGTGATAGTGTAGTTTTGCTTCATTATTTTATAGTTTCATAATCGTGGATTGACACTTATTGAAACTTTGAAAAAGATTCAATTATCTTTTAAATAAAATGAATAAGCTATATATTAACAAGACCTAATGAAAATATTATAAGAATTTGAGGAAAATTTTAAATAATTTTTAACTCTTCATGATTAATATGTAATTGAAGTATTTTATTACTTTAATTTCTAAATTTAGATTCATAGAAATAAATTGAATTAAACAGATAAACAAAATTAAATTAAGTAACCATCCACACATTCTATAAGTGATCATTTTCATTCTGTGGAAGATTAAAATACCAATTAAAATCCAAATGAGTAAATATTCAACAATGATGATCTTGACACTAGCCAATTCGAAAGTGAATAACATATCAAATTATAATTTGAATGTTTCGAAATATCATTGGCTAAAGTGAATGAAGAAGAAAAACAATAATGGAAATAAAAATTACTATAATTAATTAACACACTTTGAATAATTTTAAATATTATATATGGAAGAAGAAAAATTAGATTAAGTTACTATAGAACCTTTATTCTTTCCATCCAAAGAGAATGAATAAAAGCTTATTCAATTTCTCTCTTAAGCTAAACGATATATTCGTATCTGTGTTTACACATTCACCAATAAAAATATTGTTGGTAAAATGNTTATGATAATAATGAATGTAGCTAAAACAACTAATGATTATATATATATATATATTTATAAATTTTATTGGAGAGTATATATACATATAATATTTTAAATTAGTACAAAAATGTCAGATGATGATGATGTTGAAATTATTCATTCAGGTCAATCTTTTGAAAGTTCACCTAAATAAGTATTTAACTATTAAATAATTCCTAACCTCTAATCTGATAATTAGGTAAATCGTTTTCTAAAATTTAGAAACTGTTATAAAGTAATAAGTCTTTAGAGATAGAGATCAAATAATATAAACAATTATTAGAATAAACATTAGAAACTTTACGATAATCTGAAAGAGATCAAAATACATTAAGTATTACTATTTGAGCATATATATTTTAGAACTTTAACTTTCTTAAAAGGATTTTCAACTTTAAGTGATATAAGCTAATGTAGAAGATCGTTAAAAAAGCTAAAGAATTGATTCACATAAAAAAATAAAAGACAGCAATTCTAGTAAAATATGTAAAATATTATAAGACCGAGATTCATTTGGTAATAAATAAACAAATGTGTCTTCTGTTGGTGGTTTTTTATCATCCACTTAAAGTCCTCGTTGTTAATGTGATAGTGTAGTTTTGCTTCATTATTTTATAGTTTCATAATCGTGGATTGACACTTATTGAAACTTTGAAAAAGATTCAATTATCTTTTAAATAAAATGAATAAGCTATATATTAACAAGACCTAATGAAAATATTATAAGAATTTGAGGAAAATTTTAAATAATTTTTAACTCTTCATGATTAATATGTAATTGAAGTATTTTATTACTTTAATTTCTAAATTTAGATTCATAGAAATAAATTGAATTAAACAGATAAACAAAATTAAATTAAGTAACCATCCACACATTCTATAAGTGATCATTTTCATTCTGTGGAAGATTAAAATACCAATTAAAATCCAAATGAGTAAATATTCAACAATGATGATCTTGACACTAGCCAATTCGAAAGTGAATAACATATCAAATTATAATTTGAATGTTTCGAAATATCATTGGCTAAAGTGAATGAAGAAGAAAAACAATAATGGAAATAAAAATTACTATAATTAATTAACACACTTTGAATAATTTTAAATATTATATATGGAAGAAGAAAAATTAGATTAAGTTACTATAGAACCTTTATTCTTTCCATCCAAAGAGAATGAATAAAAGCTTATTCAATTTCTCTCTTAAGCTAAACGATATATTCGTATCTGTGTTTACACATTCACCAATAAAAATATTGTTGGTAAAATGTTGTAGATGATGAAAGAGAATCCTGAATTAAAGATATAAGTGATTACTGATGATGCTTAGACTAAGATACCTTCATAAAAAGCTATTTTAGATCAAATATTAGAAGAAGGAAAAGGATAGGTAATTAAATAGCGTTATTTTTTCTTAGGCTGAAATCAAACTTGATAATTCAACTGTTAGTTTGATGCATAATAAATATTTAGTGATTGATACCGATTATATAGCTACAGGTTCCTTTAACTGGACTAAGTCTGCAGTTACAACTAACAAAGAAAACTTACTTTTAATTAAAAGTAAGAAACTTGTACAATAATTTGATGAAAATTTTTAATCACTTTGGAAAGACTTTAAATTTATGAATGATAGAATAATAGAATAATAATAACAAGAAATAGATAAAGCTGAAAGATAAAGATTAAAAGCAGAAAAATAAGCTGAATAAGCTGCCAAAAAGGCAGAATAAGAAGCAAATCCTGATCCTAATAATCCTAATCCTATTTAAGTAGAACCTGAGACTAAACCTAAAAAAGCTCCTAAAGAACCTAAGCCTCCTAAGGAATCAAAACCACCTAAAGAACCAAAACCACCAAAAGAACCAAAAGCTCCTAAAGCACCAAAAGAATCTAAACCTCCTAAAGAACCTAAACCTCCTAAAGAACCTAAACCTATTAAACAAAAAATAAAAAAAGTTGTCTAACCTAAGAAAAAGAAGGAAAGTTAAGAAAATGAAAAATTGAGTGATGATGTTGAATAATTAGATGTTAAAGATGATATTGAAGACGAAGAAGATGATTTTGTGGATGAGGAGGATTCAATGGAAGACTTTTTAGCAGATGATGATTCTGAATGTGATTGATAAATTACATAAAAAAGAAATAAACAAAATATACATTAATTATGAACTATAGCTCTTAAAATGAATATCATCGAAAGAATTCAAGAATATAAAGAGATAAACCTAATTACAAGATACAAGAAACTCATTCATCCATCACAAAATCACCATCAAAAGACAAACGCAAATTCAATGATGAATATGAGGGTACAACTAATAATAGTTATCCAATCCAAACAAACTTCTTTGTTAATAGACCTCGTATAGCTCCTTAACCAATGTTTAAAACAACTGTATAAAAACATGGAGTTATAAAATATGTTTTAAGAAGTCAAGAAAGAATACATTCAGAATCTCAAAAACATAATCTAAATTTAAATAAAAAAAGATCTGAAAGAGATTTATTTTTTAATAAATTGATATCTGTTTCTACAAAGAGATCATATAAAAAAATTAAATAAGAATATTTTATATCAAATGAAGAAAGTGATATATTTCCTAGATCAGAGATCACTTATTTATAAGATAGTGAAGTAGATATTAAACCCTTTGTTGGAGATACATTACTTTAAGTTAATCATTTTGAAAATAAATTAATCGGAAAAAATAAATATTAAATTATCTCCTATGCAAAAAAAGAAGAAAAGCTTAATATTTTAAATTTAACAAAAAATGAAATTATTGATGATGATGTTTCTGAAACAAATGTTCTAGTTTTTAAATCTAAGAAAAAATTTTGATTAAAATTTAACAGATATTTTTTGCTAATTATATATATTCACTTTAAACAGACCATTTTATATTAAATAATTTTAAAATTTGCCATTAAAAGATATAATTATTTAATATTTTTTGTTAGTTATTTAAAATCTTGCTATTATATAAAAAAAATTAGTATTTAATTTTAATATAAAATAATTAAGAACATTTTTTTATCTTTATGAATTCCTAACAATAGATAATAAGTCTTATCAAGAAAAATCTACTTATTAGTTACAGAAATAGAGAAATATTCATAGAAGCCTTGCTTCCAATCATAGTTTCCCTAATGCTTACTTTCAGAGGTAAAAGTAGTCAATTTTATCCAAGAATACCTTTCTGAAATGAAATAATTAATGCCATTACTTTATAGTTTAGCAACAGCCTCTACATAGAGATCAATGTTGATTAAGTTAGTGGAAGAAAAAAGTAAACGATACAAGGAACTCCAAAAGGTATAATTATATATTTTAGGATTAGATCATGGGTATGAATGAGAAGTCTTATTTGATAGGGTGGGTTTTAACTGGATATATAAGAGTTATAATAGTATAAAATTCAATTATCATTAGGCAGTAATCATTTTTGAGTTGTCATTTTTTTTGATGTTTCCTATATTTGGAATAAAATGGGATGATTAATTTAATGAGAGTTTTATCTCATTGACATGGCCATATTTTCTATTTTCAATTGCAGTATTGGAATATATATTATTTATAGTCTATGAATCAAATCTACTTATTTTCAAGTTTATTTAATGAGGTTAAAATTGCAGGAGAAATATAAAGTTTTTTTTAAATTGCTTGTGTGTTTTTTATATATTTCACTTTTGTTGAAAGTGCAGCAAATACATTTTCATTCTATTTTTTCCTAAGCATTTTTAGTCCTTAATGTAGTGTAGCTTTTACTTATATTGCATCTATGAAACCTGGAATACCAGGTGATATTTTATCTGCAAATTTGTTTCCATCAGAATAGATTATGAATATATATTCAACAAAATATGAGGGAGCACAAATGGCTGTTTAAGCTATTATTTATTTTCTATTATTTTTATATTTTGAATAAGTAATTCCAAATGAATATGGAGTAGCAAAAGAGCCTTTATTCTTTTTGAAAAGAAATAAAGTATAAATAAAAGAAAATGATTTATTTGCCTAATTATAATCAGAAGATAATGATGTGAGTTCTGCTATATATCATGAAGAAATAAAGTATTCTGTTCCTCCAAGTATAATAATTAAAAATTTATAAAAAAAATTTGGAACTCTAAAGGCTGTAGACAATATATCACTTTCGCTATATGAATCAGAAATATTTTGTTTATTAGGACATAATGGTGCTGGAAAGACAACTGCTATAAGTGTTTTGACTGGAATGATTTCAAAAACATCAGGTTTAGTTAGTATGTATGGAATGAATTTGGATACTTAATTACCAAAAATAAGATAATCATTAGGTCTTTGTACATAGAAAGATTGTTTATATGAGGATTTAACTGTTGAAGAAAACCTAAAATATATAAGTTCTATAAAGGGAAAAGTTAATAAATATGAGATACTTGAAATATTGAAAAAAACAGATTTGATTGGAGAGAGACATATTTAGGTAAAAGTACTATCAGGTGGGTCAAAAAGGAAGTTATCTTTAGGTATGAGTTTAGTGGGAAATTCAAAAATAATATTTTTGGATGAGCCTACTTCTGGAATGGATGCATATTCCAGAAGATAAATTTGGTCTATTTTAGAAAGAATAAGATAGGATCAAAGAACAATAATATTAACTACTCATCATCTTGATGAGGCTGAAATATTAGCTAATAGAATAGGAATAATGTCAAAAGGTTAATTATTGGCTGTAGGTACATCGAATTTTATTAAAAAGAAATTTGGGGAAGGTTATAATTTAAAAATAACATTTAGTGATGTATAATTAAGAAATTAAATTTATGAGAAAGTAAATAAATATGTACCAGAATGTTTTTTAGAAACAGAACATTCTAATGAAAATTAATATGTTTTTAATATTCCTTTTACATCTAAAAATACTCTTGGATAATTATTTTAGGAATTAGAATAAATGTCTGTTTAAATTGGTTTATCAATGAAAACACTTGAAGATGCTTTTGTAAAAATAGGTATGGAAGAAGAATAAGCTCAACTCACTTTTAGAAGATAAAGTGAGATATAAATTGCTAAGTAAAGTTTAGGTATTCCTGCTTCTGATGATGATAATGAAAGAGATAATTAAGAGTTCTTATCATATCCAATTGAAATTAAGGATAAAGATACTCAAAATGATGATATTAAATCAATACCTAAATGCTTATCTAATGATCCATAATATTCATTTTTGAATTAAATCTTAGCAATTTTCTTAAGGAGATATTATACTGTAGTTAGAACTACAACAAATTATTTTTCAATTATTATACCTATGATTGCATTTATAAATGGACTTGTTGTTGTTGCTTATGTTGAATTTTAAGATGAAAAATACAAAGAATTACCTGATTATGTTTTAAACCATTTTAAAATTAATCTTTTAGCATCTTGTTGTGTAATTGCATTCTGTTTCAATGCAACAATATATATAACTTAACCTGTATTAGAAAAAGAATATTTTTTGAAATAGTCATTACAAGGAATGGGATTAAGAAATTTAACATATTGGTTAGGAACATTCTTTTTTGATCTTATAATATTCTTCTTAAATTTAGTGTTATTTTTAATAGTTTCAGCATTATTAGACTTAAATATTGTTTTTGATAATATTGCAAGATCACTTTCATGTTTTTTAGTATTTGGACCAAGTTAAATCTTATTTGCTTATATTATGGGATTTGTATTTAATAAATTAGAAAGTGCATTAAAATTATTTACAATCTTTTGTTTTTTTATACTATTTTGTTTACCCAATATCTTAGTTGCTTTTACTTTTTTCTTTTATAAAGAATTGAAAAAACCTGTATATCTTGAGAATGTTCTATATGTTTTTGAAATATTATTTTCGGTAAATATTTTAATTTATAATATAAGATCATATCACCATTCTATGCTTTCTTTTCAGCTTATTTGTTCACTGCTAATAATTATCTAGAAGTAGAATCCTTTTTTGAAGCTCCTTATTTATTAACAACAACTGAATCATATTTATTAATTATATTGGGATAGATAGTTGTATTTACTGGAGTCTTATTCTTTTTAGAAAATAAGAAATCATTTATAAATCATAATCAAATTCAATAAGAAGTCAATGAAAATATAGAAGAGGAAGTTCAAAATGAAAGAAATAGGGTACTTCAAGCTAATAATAATGATCCTATTAAATCTAAATTCTTAGAAAAATAATATACTAAAGGCAAACCTACTTTACAGTAACTTACATTTAGTGTATAGAAAGGTGAAATCTTAGGTATTATAGGACCAAATGGTGCTGGTAAATCAACTTTAATTAATATATTTTCTGGAATTAATACTCCAACAGCAGGTTAAGCATTGTTAAATGATTATGAACCAAAATAATAAATAATGAGTATTATGTAACATGTGGGAGTGTGTCCATAATTTGATTGCATATGGGAAAATCTAACTCCAGTAGAACATCTTTAATTATTTGGAAGAATCAAAGGATTATAAGGAAAAGAATTGTCTGCTGCAGTTTCATATTTCATAAAAACTATGCAATTAGATTTATTTTTAAATACAAAAGCTGGTTAATTAAGTGGTGGTAACAAAAGAAAATTATGTGTTGCTGATGCTTTAATTGGAGGAAGTGATATTACTTTTTTTGATGAACCTAGTTCTGGAGTAGACCCAATATCTAGAAGATTTCTCTTTAATACATTAAAGAGGAATATATAATTAAGAGCTTGTTCAGCAATTATGACAACTCATACTATTGAAGAAGCAGAAAGTTTGAGTGATAGAATTGGAATATTAATAGCTGGTTAATTTAAATGTTTAGGTTCTCCTTAATATTTAAGATAGTATTTATTTAATTTAATATTAGAAAATATGGAAGTGGTTATCAAATCTCTGTTAAATATATTAATCCTTAAGTGATCAATTTAATTTAAAATTAATTTTCTTATGCTAAATAAATAGAGGAAAAAAGGGAGGGTTATTTAATGTACTCTCTTCCAAAAGAAGGATTTAGTTTTTACAGATCATTTAATTTCTTTTAAAGTTTACAATAAGAAGGCCATATTGAAGATTTTTAAATTGAGGAAAAGTATTTAATTTTTTTATTTTTAAGTTCTTTGGAATCAGTATTTATACATTTTAGTAAAATTCAATAGGAAATAAATGAAAAGGATGGAATAGCCATAGATTGATATTAATTATATTTATTGTTGTAAATAATAATTATATATTTACATAAAACGCCTAATGAGTATTGCCAAATAACTCATCATCTTATGTATGTTATTATATAATAACGCAGGGTATATTTCAATCTAATTATAGATTTACTACTTTAAATCTATCAAACTTATAAAACGATATAAGAAATGAAGTTCATATTTAATAAAGTAATCAAAAATCTCTATTTATCCAATAATAACTTTAAAAATAAATTCCTTTACAAAGCAATTCAAATATTATCACTTAAACTAATTAAGAAACTGAGGATTTAATAAATACATAAAATAATCAAATTCTATAAATTTAATAAGGACAATCCTAAAATGTAGGTTAATCATAAACATTAATAAGTGAAGATTATTAAGTGATAAATATTACAAATCCCTAAGAATTAAAAATAGAACCATAAGAAGAATCATAAAATTAATCATAATCAAATACAAATTCATAAATAATTACAAATAAAGACAATTCTAATAATAATCAATAGGATGATAACAATTTATAATAAATTATATAGAATGAACAAGTTGAGTTTGATGATGAAGCAGGTTATATTAATGACTCACCTTTAGATTTTGACTTAAGTGAAGATTCTAATAAAAGTCAAAATAAATAAGAAGTCTAAAGTAATTATGAATAATCTCTTCTGAAATAAATGAATTCAAAAGATGATATTGCTTAAGATGATTAATAATTATAAAAATCAAATGAAATTTAGAAATCCGATTAGGATAAAAATGAATTGAAATTAAATTAAAATGAAGATCTAATTAATAAGTAAAATATATAAGAAACTCTTAATCAAGATTAAATAATGAAAAACTCATTAAATGATTCTAATGAATTCTAAAATTAAGAGAGCAATATTAATAATTAATCAGAGATACCTACACCTTATGAAATGAAAGAAGTGTAGGATGATAAAAAATATGATTCATTAAAAGTTGGTTATATTATTGAAAATAATGTTGAAACTGATGATTATTTAAAGGATATTGAAGAAAATGAAAACTATAATTAAAAGTAGGAGGATCTGAAATAGAAATTAGAATAGGAATAAGAATATTTAAAATAATTAAAAAATAATTAATTAGATAATGAAAATAAATTAAAATAATTAAAAGAATAGGAAAAAATAATATATGATTAAGAATAAAATGAATAATAATAAATTAAATAGATTAATGGATAACTTGAAATTCAAGAGAAAGAACTATAATAAATAGAATTTGATTATTCAAATGAGAGTAAAAATATAAATATTAAATCTGAAACAAATGAATAAACCTAATTTAGACCCTATGAAGGATAAGAATTAATTATTTCTTCAGAAGTAAACTATGATGAAGGAAATATTGAATAATTTGAATAATCTCAGAATAATTTAGTTATTGAAGAAAATGCAGAAGTATAAGAATTATAAAATAATTAATAAGTAGAGTTCAATTGGAACGAAAATAAATAATATTAGGAAACATTTGAATAAAATGATTACATTATCAATAGTGAAAAAGAGAGTAATGGTGTATAGAATTATGATCAATCAATTCCAGCTTAACTTTAAGAAATATCTATTGATTTAAATTTAAAATCAAATGATCTGACAACTCAAATCAATTTAAGTAAAGATGTTTTAATAACAGCAAATAATGAGTAGGTTGAATCTTTTAATTTTGATCAATCTTTAGAAGATCATTTAAAATAGAACAATTAAAATTTGAAAGAAAATAACACTTATTTAGAAAATCAATAAGAGAATGAATCTCATAAAAAGGAAATTTAAGAATTAAATCAAAATTTATAAGATTAAGACAATCAAATTTTAAATTTTGAAGACTATAATTAATAATCTAATGAATCAGAATCATAACAAATATTATCTAATAATTCAGAAATTAGCTTAACTCAAAATAATGATTCTTAGTTTGCAAATAAGAATTAAAATATTTAACCTGATATTATATTAACTTATTAATAATAGAATAATAATAAATAAATCAAATAATTTAAAAAAGATTTATCTTATTATTAGATTCAATAATTAATAAAGAGAACTTTAAATTTAAGAGGATCTATTTAAGACATGCTAGTTGTTTAGTAACCCTCTTTGCTATTTTAAAGTATGTAAGCATAATAATTTATATTAAATAGATATTGAAAGATAATATAATGATTAGAATAATGAAAATACTAAAAATTAATCTTGGATAAATTAAAATATACCATAATTTACTGATATTTTAAATTTGAAAAATGAAATGACAATGAATAATATGTAATTCCAAAATGAAAAGGAATAAATAAAGGTTTCTTTGGAAAGTCGTGATATTCCAAATAGTTTCAATCTTCTTGAAGAATAGCATATTAAGAATTGAAATTATTATGTATAATTTATATAATTAATATCAAAATATTGTAATCTTTGATGATATTACTTTTCAACTCATTTCTTTTTATTTATGATTATTATAAGTATGAAATAATTTTGATAAATGATATTAAAAACTTGTTTATAAGTATGGATAATATATTTTAAAACAATAAGTTTCTATGCATATAATTAGTATATTATTATTTATGATGATTATGAATTAAGTATGATAATATTTTTTATATTAAATCTTATGAATAGAAATATAAATTTCAATATTATATATCTAAAGACTAAACTATCAATTCTTTGAATTCATTTTGATTTTAATTATAATGCAGTTTCATATAAGAGAGATACATCATAATATTATTATAAATTTTATGTAATAAGAATAATGGTCAGGTTTTATCCATTTTAATGACAAAAATAAATCATAAATAATATGCAAAAATTTAGGAATATTGCATCATTTTCTACAATTCCATCATATTTTAGTCTTGACCCAAATTAATTGTAAGAGAGTGTTTTAAATATATTAATAATAGATCTGCTCGTAATCCACATAAGGCATAAAACTTTTTGCGTGGAAAATGGATTGATTCCCATAAATATCAAACCATTGTAGATCCAATGAATGGTGAACCATTTATTACTGTACCTGATGTCTAGGACAAATAAGAATTATTGAAATATATTGAATCTGCCAAAGAATGTCCAATTAGTGGATTACATAATCCATTAAAAAATCCATAAAGATATTAACTCTATGGAGAAGTATGTCATAAAATAGCAGCAGAACTTAAAAAAAAAGAAGTTCATGATTTCTTAGTAAAATTAATATAAAGAGTTGTACCTAAACATTTTGCATAAGCATCAGGGGAAGTAGTTGTGACAGAGAGATTTTTTTAAAATTTTAGTGGTGATCAACCTCGTTTTTTAACAAGATCATTTAATGTAGCTGGAGATCGTCCTGGATAATAATCAACAGGATATAGATGGCCTTATGGATCTTGTGCTGTTGTGGCTCCCTTCAATTTTCCATTAGAAATACCAAGTTTATAGATATTTGGTGCATTGATTACAGGAAATAAAGTTTTCTTTAAAGGTGACAGTAGAGTAAATGTTGTTATGGAATAAATGTTAAGATTAGCACTTCATTGTGGTTTACCTGCTACAGATGTAGATATGTTATTTGGTAATGGTGAAGCGACTGAATTTATATTAAGATAGGGAAATTTCCGTAATACTTAATTTACAGGATCATCAAAGGTTGCAGAGCATTTAACAAAAGTATTAAATGGAAAGATTAGAATTGAAGATGCTGGATTTGATTGGAAAATACTTGGTCCAGATATACCAGATATAGATACTCAAAACTATGTTGCATGGTAATCAGATTAAGATGCATATGGAAGTACTGGATAAAAATGTTCAGCTTAAAGTATTCTCTTTGTTCATGAAAATTGGGTAAAAGCAGGATTTCTAGATAAAATTAAATAATTAGCTAGTACTAGAAATTTAAAGGATTTAAGTAATGGTCCAATTATTACATGGAATAATACTTAAATTAAATAGCATATTGAAAATATTTTGAAAATACCTTAATCAAAAATATTATTTGGTGGATAAGAATTGAAAAATCATTCTATTCCATCAATTTATGGAGCATTTGAACCTACAGCTTTGTATGTTCCATTAGATTAAATCTAGAAAAATAAGAGTGTAACTACAGAATTATTTGGACCATTTTAGATTGTTACCACATATTCTTCTGATTAAATCAATTAAGTTTTAGATATCATCAATAATCTTGAAAATCATTTGACTGCAGGTATAGTTAGTAATGATGTTAATTTCTTAAGATATGTTTAATCCAATACAACTAATGGAGTGACTTATAGGTAATTTGAGATATAATCATTTTAGTGGTATAAGAGCAAGAACTACTGGTGCTCCATAAAATCATTGGTTCGGACCATGTGGAGATCCAAGAGGGGCAGGTATTGGTACTCCTGAAGCAATATTAACTGTATGGACATGTCACAGAGAGATTATACATGATACAGATGTAGCTCCTTCTGGATTCAAAGGATAATAAAGTTGACTAAGATTAAATATATAGACAATATAGAATTATCCAAAATCATCCAAAAAATAGTTTTCATTATCTTATCCAATCTAATAATTTCATTGTATCTTGCCATCTTTGATCCACTGATCTACAATTTAACAGTACTATTATGTATGAATTTTAGTTGTCCTCAAAATACTCTACAACACATGGACCTGCCTCTTTTGTTATACCAGTCTTAACTCCTCTAAATCCTTAGTATAACATTTTATTAGTGTTTTCCCAAAAGATTTCTTTAGACTCTCCAAATTTGTCTTCGATTTCACTAAAATATATTTTGGTCTTGACTATGCTTGCGAATTGTAGATTTTACAAGGCATTATAAGTTAAGATACCAATATCATATGCAGAAGAGTAATTAGCTTCATGATACAATCCTTTATGTTATATAAATAATACCATGTGGATTAGAATAGGATGTCAATTCCATTCCAATATCTTAAGCATTTTGATTCATTTGTTAAATGAAATCACAACCTTTATAAAGTTCGAAATTGTGTTGTATGGATATTGCTGCATCATTACCAGATGGTAACATTAACCCATAGAGTAGATCTCTAATACTGAGTTTATCACCACTTTAGAGTTGAGCTGTTGTACCTCCAATCCTTTCTGCCTATATTTAAGCTATGAACTACTTTTTCTGGCACTGTGAAGTATGTATTATCAAGGTCCAATTAAAATTACTATGTGAGTTTCAGTGCTAACCAACATGTCATGATTTTAGTGATTGAAGCCATTTATCTACTTTTATATTGATTGTAGCCACTCATCAATTGGCCATTCTTTCCATTAATAATGCACCAACTTTATGCAGAAACTAATGGACCGACACTGTCTATTGGTGATATGGATATTTATTTAGGCAATATTCTTTTAGGTCTAGAAATTGTAGTGGCAGTCTTAGGTTTAATAGGGGATTATTAATATTTTTCTGTGCTTTTCTTTGAATAAAATGAATTGTTTGCAGTAGAGTTTAGTTGTTTAACTTTAGTATTTTTTGGATGACTATACATATGAAATCTTTTAGTGTCTATAATGGTTGTTTTTTGCTTTTTTTATTCTGGTTCTTTTTCTTATTATTATTGTTGAATGGCAGAAACTTTTCGAACTTGAAACTTATCTACGGGTTCAATAGATCCAATAAATACTTTACTTATATTCTCTGAATATTCTTTAAGCCAACATTAAGGTACTATTAAGATTATCTGCTTATGGTTGCCAAAATAATTGATTACGATAATTATTTGTACTTGTAGGTTGATATTTAAGACAGAGTACTTGTTATCTATTTTCAAAGTATTCTTGCTTCATGTAAATATAAATAATGAAATTGAATTGGTAAATATAATTTAATTAGTCAGATGTTATTATTTACATTCAATTTAATACTTGGATGTAATATATTAAGTCCTAATATTTATTAGTAGAAGTTACATTGATAAATATATATAAATTATAAATAATAACTGATGGGTAATGAGATTTCTAATGGAAGTCCAGGAGACCTGGAATAAATGAAAAGATTCATGAATATGTCACCAGGTTAAGTTAAATTGATAAAGTAATTGAGTTATACAAATTGTATTTTAGAGAGAAATTTGAATTGATGGCAGATGAGGATCTCACTATTGATAGAAATGGGTTTATATAATTGATGAAATTGAAGGAGACTGAAGTAGATAAAGTGTTTTAATTTTTTGACATCAGCAATGATGGTAGAATTGACAGTCATGAATTTGTATGTGCTTTAAGTCTTTTGAGTTAAGCTACCTTAAAGGTATTTCTAGAATTATTATATCTAAGGAAAAAGCAAATATAATATTTTCCTTATATGATTTTGATCATAACAAAACAATAACTCGAAATGAATTAGTCATTTTGATTAAGACTACTTTAACAGCTTTAGGAGCCATGTCATAGAAAGGAGAATGTACAATCTAAGAGGCAGAGAGAATCTCAGATGAATTGTTAAGGAAATATGATACAAATAAAGATGCATCAATATCTTTGTCTGAATTTCATAGGTATGTTAATATTAATTAATTATTTTGCAGTCTTCTATCTAAAGATTAAGATGTACTTAAGATGCTACTATCTTATGGATTATGCTCAGTTGAAGATTTGAGATCTGATTTTGGAGGAGCCTAATAAGGTGATGTTCCTTATCCAGATTCTGATTTGGAGAGTGAAACATAGAGAAGATTATTGGCATATGATTAAAAAAGAGAAATGAGGAAAATTGGAATAGAAACTAATCTTGAGGAGGACAATAATCAATTATAATAAGAATATAATTAGAAAGCTCATAAGGTGACAAATAAAGAAGTTTGGAAAAATTAAGTAAAGAATGGTTAACCATCTTCTTGGAAACCAGGTAAAGGTGATATAAATCCACCAAGTACATTTATGGAATTAGATTATATATATGGATTTAGAAGTTTTGATACTAGAAACAATATTAAATTTGTTGATTAAGAATTAGTTTATTTTACTGCTGCAGTTGGAGTGGTTTATAATCCATAAACAAATTAATAAAGGTTCTTTTTTGAACATACTGATGATATTACATGCATAGATGTTTATGATAAGTATATTGCAACAGGTTAGGCTGGATCCATTCCTCCAATATATATTTGGGAAGTTAAAGATTAAATAGAACCTTCTAGAGCTGCTTTTAAAGGAATTTTACGTTAAGGAGTATAATGTTTAGCCTTTTCAAATGATGGCAAGAAATTAGCTGCTGTAAGTATGGATGATGAACATACATTGGTTGTTTATGATGTAGATAAAGGAATAGATGCAAGATTAAAAGGTGATATATCATAGGCTTTATTAGCCACAGGTAAGGGTCCTAGATCATTTGTATTTGATATTAAATTTGATAAAGTTGATAAATATTTGATTTTGGCATGTAAGAATGAAGTATACTTTTGCAGTTATGATTAAAATCAAATAAGATTGAATCTAGGAATATGGGATACAAAAACATCACCATTCTCATCTGTATTATGCATAGCATTATGCGATAATAATGTGATAACAGGTACATATAGAGGATAGTTATTGATTTGGAAGAGCAATAGAGCTACTACAGCAGTAGATGCTCATAAAAGTGCTGTTCTAGCAATTCATACTAAAAAAAGTTAGGAAGGAGGTGTAGTATCAGGTAGTAAAGATGGAACAATTATAGTATGGGATATAAATATGAAAGCTAAAGAAAAGATAAATGTTCTCAATTTAAATTTAAAAATATTTAATTTCAAAGTATAAAGTGTTACAATAGGACCAAATGATTAAGAGAAATCTGTTCATTTAGTATTTGGAACAAGAGGATCAGACATGGTAGAAGTTCAAGGATAAAAAAGTAAAGTTTTAATGAGAGGACATTCAGTTGGAGTATTAAGAGGTTTAGCTATACATCCAAAATTTCCTACTTTTTACACTATTGGTGAAGATAATATTTTAGCTTGTTGGTTGATTAAAGATAAGAAGATGTCTAATTGCATGAAATTAGATTATCCTAGTAGTGCTATTCATATTAGCAAGGATTATAAATATTTGGCTGTAGGTAGTACTAATGGAACTGTACTTATTATTGATCCTAAAACATTAATGCCTACTTTTAATTTTAAAGATAGAGATGCTGAAGTTTCATGTCTTAAATTTTCACCTGATACTGAATAATTAGCAGTTGGTCATGATGCACCAAGTTGTGATGTCATTATATATTCCATAAAGAATCATTTTAAAAAGACAAATGTATTACGTGGTTCTCCTGCTAGAGTTATTAGTATTGATTTTTCATCTACATGCAGAGTTTTATAAATTAATGATTGGAGTTAATAAGTACTTTATTATGAATTAGGAGGAGAAAATAATCAAAAAGTATAACCTGATGGAGCATCTAAATATAAAGATGAAAAATGGGCAACATATACAGCCATTTATGGATGGCATGTTTTGGGAGTATGGCCTCTTTTATCAGCTGGTTGTGATATCAATGCTGTAGATAGATCTAATAAAGGAGATATTTTAGTTACAGCAGATGATTATTCTGGAATCAAGATATTTAGATATCCTGCTGCATAACCAGGTTAAGGATTTTAGAGATATGTGGGACATGCTGCTCATGTAACAAACATTAGATTTACAGCAGATGATGAATATATCATATCTTTAGGAGGAGCAGATAAATCAATTATGTAATGGAAAGTATCACATGATAAAGATGCTTAGATAGAGTAAGATTAAGCATGTGAATCTATTTAAGATGTTTAGATATCTAAGGATTATTATAGACTCAATTTAAATGAAGAGGAGAATAAATAAGAAGGATAGAAATAATATTAAGCATTTGTTAAAGCTACTTAACCAACTAATTTTAAATTTGATGAGAAGAAATATAATGTATTGCCATAAGGTAATTTAACACTTGATTATGTTTTGGGTATGAAAACAGATTAATTGGGTTAAGATTATTTTAATGGAGTTAAATTATTAGACAATGGTAAAATAGCATTCTCTTGTGGAGCTGTTGGTATTGTTATGGATCCAAATATTCCTATTGGATAATAATATTGTAATTAGACTTATTTCAGATATCATTAGGATGAAATTACTTGTATTGCTATTCATCCAAGAGGAAGAATTGTTGCAACAGGAACTAAAGCTTTTGCTTTAAATGAGAAATAATTAACAGCAATATGTGTTTGGGAAGCTGAATCAAAGAAGGTTTTGTCAATGTTAAATGATTTTCATACTAAAATGATTTATTGTTTAGAGTTTTCATATGATGGTGTCTTTTTATTATCATTTTCTTCAGAATATTCAATAGCAATTCATGATTGGCAAATTGGATAATTGATTATTACTGTAAAGACTTTGAGATCTAATATTTATGGAATTTGCAGTAAATCAGCAAATGAATTTATGTCTTGTGGATAAAAAAGTGTTACATTTTATAAAATGAATGGCAGAAATATAAAATGTTATCCAGGTATCTTAAATAATAATCAATTTGAACCTATGTTATGTTGTTGTGTTGCATTTAAAGATTCATATGAAATTACAGGATCTGATAATGGAAACATCTTTCTTTGGAAGGAAAATAAAAACATTAAACATTATTAAGCTCATAAATCAAAAGTAAGTTCATTAGTTGCTGTTGGAAAAACTTAATTATATAGTAGTGGTTTAGATGGATAAATTAAATTATGGGAAATGAATGGAAATAATTTAAATAACATTGCAACAGTTATTGATATTACTGAAGCTCTTCATTAGCCTAAATAAATTGGTATTATATCAATGGATATTAAGAATGACTATATTATAATAGCAACAAAATAAGCTCAAATGTATCATGCTCCACTTAAAAATGTATAGAATTTGAAATTATTACTTGATTGTCATTATGGTGGAGAAGTTTGGGGAGTTGCAGCTAGTCGTAATTCATAAACCATTATTACTTGTGGAGGAGACAGTGTACTTCGTTAATGGGATATCAATTAATATACTTTGGTTAAGTGTTCATCTCCATTTGAAAATGATATAAGGGCTGTGGATTGGAGTGCTGATGGTAAATACATAGTAGTAGGAGATATACGTGGATGTATTTATTTAGTAGAACCCACAAATATGAATATTTTGGATAAAAAGAATTCTAAAGCAGGTTCTTTGAAATAGAATGCATAAGGAAAAACATTTTGGATTGAGGATATTAAATTTTCACCTGATAGTACTAAAATTGCATTTGGTGCTCATGGTACATAATCATAAGTAGAAGTATGGGAAATAGAAGGAGGAAAATTTAGTAAATAAAGTTCAATAAATATCTCATTAAATAGTAGTTTAATTAAATTAGATTGGGCTATGGATTCTATTCATTTAGTAGTAAATTCATCAACTTATGAATTGAAATTTGCAAATGTTTAATCTTTGAAAGATGTTCCAGGACCTTAAGTTAAAGAATTGGATTGGTATACATGGACATGTTTATTTGGTTTTAATGTATAAGGTATCTATAAAAAGGATGAATATTCAGTGACTGCAGTTTGTGTAGATAATTAAAAGTAGATATTGGCAACAGGAGAATATAATGGTATAATAAATTTGTATTAATATCCTGCTGTTTGTTAATTCAATTAAATTCATAAAGAATATTTTGGACATGCAAATGCTATTACAAGAATGAGATTCTCATTTGATGATAGTAAATTGATTTCAACTAGTGGTATGGATAGGGGAATATTCATATGGAAAACAGATTGGTCTAAATCTTAATAATAGTTAATGTTATAAGATGAAAATGCTTATGGAAAATTGGATGAGGATATTGATGATTTGGCTGCTTTAGCAGTTCCATAAGAAAAAACAAGAAGACTAGGATCTGATAAATATGGAAAAGTGAGAAGAAGAGATAATCAAATAGAAAAGAATGAAGATTAATAGAATAATAATGAATAGAATGAGAAAGGAGATGAATTCACTATTATTAGACCATGGATGGGAGCTGTCAAGGAACCTTCTAATTATTATAAAGATCCATTAAACTAAAATAAATAGCCTTTAGTGGAATTAACATTAGAATATGTTCATGGTTATCGCAGTAAAGATTGTAGAAATAATGTGAAATACTTAAAGAGAGGATAGATTGTTTATAATGCAGCTGCATTAGCAGTTGTTTTAGATCCAAATTCTAATGCAAATACCAATTCAAATTCACAAAGGTTTTTCAATCACCATACAGAAGATGTAGTCTGTTTGGATGTGTCAAATGATCATCTAAAGGTTGCCACTGGATAATTAGGAGCTAATCCTATTATATATATTTGGGAAAGTAATACTTAAGCAATTATCTGCTCAATGAAAGGTTATTTTACAAAAGGAATCTTGCAATTAGCATTTAATGAATCAGGAGATAAATTAGCTGCTATAGGAATGGATGATTGTCATTAATTATGTATTTTTGACATAGTAACTAAATCTTAAACTGGAGGAACTTTGTTGGTTAGAGATCAAATTGGTAAGGATATTGTTACAAATATTAAATGGAAAAATGATTATGAATTTGTTACATGTGGATTAAATCATCTAAAATTCTGGAAATTAGGACATGGAGGTTTGAATTTTAGTAAAGCCTATCCTTAAAAACCTCTCTCATATAAATATTTATGTGCAGCTGTCAATAATGATGATTATTTATTAGGTGGTGTAGATGGATCTTTATAAATTTATTCTGGTGGCAAATTTACTTCTTATTTCTAATATTTAGAGGCTAATAGATCATTAGAAGCAATTGATGTTTCCAAAGATTTGTAATTATATATTTATAATAATTATTAGTATTCTTATTGGAGGAGCTGATTCTAAGATTGTAATAATAGATTCCAAGACATATAAATAAATATTATCTTTTAAACTATCTGAATGTATGAGAAATTCATTGGGTTTAGAAGTTAAATCAATTTAATTAGGTTATGATTAAAAGACTTTACTTATATCAACTAATGCTGGTGATATAGTTGAATTAGTTACTAAAGATGCCAAAATCAATATAAATTCTAAATTTGCTGTTTCTAAGACTTTAATGAAATCTCATTGTTCCCCAAATAAAAGATCTTTAAATGAAATTTGGGGTTTAGCTATTAATCCATAAGATTCTGATTAATATTATACTTGTGGAGATGATGGAACTTTAAGATCTTGGTCAATAAGTTAAAAAAAGATGTTAAATTGCATCAAAACCAACCTTGATTCTAATGGAGTAGAAATTAAACAAGATGAAGTTGGTGAATTACTTGATAGTACAAAAGGTAGATGTATAGCTGTTTCTTTGGATGGTATTTCTATTTGTGTTGGATTTAAAGATGGAACATTTAGAGTAATATATAATTAATTAACATTAAGATTTATGATAAAGAATTTAAATAAAAATATGTGAATAGATTAGCCAAAGAATGGATTAGTGATATTAAATTTAGTCATGATTAATCTTGGATTGCAATTGGATCTCATGATAATTCCATATATATTTATAGTTTTCCAGATATGAAATAACGTTACAAACCATTAAAGAAACATTCAAGTTATATTACTCATATTGATTTTTCAATAGATGGAAATCATTTACATAGCAATTGTGGAGGGTATATAATTAATAAATATTTTATAAAGATATGAATTATTGTTTTGGGAACTTCAAACTGGTAAATAATTACCAAATGGAGCAAATTAATTAAGAGATGAAAAATGGCTGACTTGGACTACACCATATGGATGGCCTGTTTAAGGAATATGGCCAGATATTTAAGATGGTAGTGATATTAATGCTGCTGTAAGATCAAATAAAACATATAATGAAAAAGATAAACCACCTGATAATTATTATTTAATTGCAACTGGTGATGATAATTCTTAAATTAAATTATTTAGGTATACTTTATTTATATTATTATAGATATCCATGTGTAAAGAAAGGATCATAATATATATTAGGAAGAGGACATTCATCACATATTACCAACATTGCATGGTCTATGGAAGATCATTATCTATTTAGTATTGGAGGTGAAGACAATTCTATTTTCTAATGGAAAGTAAGTAAATTGAGATGAAATATTGTTAAAAATTAACAATTATATTTATTAGTAATATAATAATTATTTATCTTTTAAATTGATAACATTTCTTATAAATAGAATATTGAACTAAATATTTGATATTTGTTTTTAAAATATTCAAAATGTTATGCAACAATGATTTCTGCCCTTATCTGGAACTGTTATTTTTTCCAATTAATAAAGAACAATTAATCCTTCAAATAATCTCTTTGTTACAAGAGCCTCTATAATACCGAATCTGGATGATGATGAAATATCAGCTGTTCCTTCTTAATCGATAAATAAGTGTTCTCTATCTGTTTCTCTTGCTTATAATCCAATAGATTTTGGTTGTAGATAAAATAAAAACATCATAATCTTCTGGTCTTTTAGCTGAAATACCAACTGAGCTATCATCATTAGTTAGACCAGCTATTAATCTTCAGCATACATAGTTTTCACCTTCTCAACTATTGCTTAAGTAAAATGCTTGTTTGCTAAACTCACTTACTATTCTTTAATTCATCCCAACTAGCTTATATTTTATTAAAATCAATATTCCCTTGTTCATCTAAATAGAGGTTCCTTACATCTTGTTTTGAAAAGATTTTGCGCTAAGACATTGCAATTTATAAATAACTTTATCACTTCATTATTTTTATAAAAACGTATATAAATTCATAAAAATTAATACTACATAATAGCATCACTTAACTCCCATATTACACTACTGTGTTCCTTATTTATATTATAATATACTTCTGTATAAGTAATTTATATTTCTCTATATTATTAATAATTATTATTATTATGTCTGTTCATACAAGTCCTAAAAATTCATTCTTAAGCTCTGCTCGTACAAGACCTTAAACAGCAGTCACAAGTCCTAGAATACCTTAAATATAGTAATCAAATTATATATCTTAGAATATCTATTCCAAATGATGAACAAGATCAATAAATATAGATCAACAAATATCCTGCAACAACAAGTCTTACTCCAAAAAGTCTGATGAAATTATAAGATAGGAAATTTCATGTAGAACCAAGATCTGAAAATATATCAAGCAATTTAAGGGTTACAAAAGAATAAGCAGAAATTGATCCACCAGAGGATTACTTTGAAAAAGAAGTTTAAATTAATTAAGATGAATATGAACAATTTAAAAAGAACTTTCATAGAATTGTTTTTGATGCTTTTGGCAATTATATTTATACTAAACCAGGACCTATTGATGAAGAATTTAAACTTTAAGTTTCAGTAAAATTATATTTTTAAATTAAGTCAGCGTTAAATACTCATAAGCAGACTTCAAGAAGCTTAAAAAAAAAACTATAAATTAAGACTTAAAGTTTCTAACCTAAAAAAACAATTGAGAACTTAGTCAAAAGTACTTCAGAAATGGCTAAAATGAATCCAAGAAGAAGAGCAATATTAGAAATTAAATAAAAAGCAGAGAATTCTCTTTATACAATGATTAATAATCTAGCTAAAGAAAAGGTTTTAAGTGAATCTAAATCTCAATTAGAATAAGTAACACAATAAATGCTTATTTATATTGATAAATTTACAAGAGAAAAGTATCATATAAGCTCTATATTTAGTTAAGAACTTACAGATTAATTAGAAATGGCTAAAGGAAAAATCTTTGAATTGTAAAGTTCAAATGAAAGCTTAAATTTTAAAAATATACAATTAGTTAAAGAAATCAAAAATTCAAAACAAAAATTGGATGAACTTAAGAGAAGTACTGTTGATGTTGAAAAATTCATACCATAATATAATATTATGACTAAAAGATTTGAAAATTTCTAAGCTGAAAAATTCATTGATAGATATGATTATTTTGAAAATTAAAATTTACTTCTTACTAAAAGAGTTTCAGATCTAGAATTAGATATTATATAACTTGAAAAATAAATTTTACATTTGTAAAAAGATTTAGAAGCTAATTAATAAATAAATAAACATCAATATGATATGAATTTTCATTCCACTACTAATAAACAAGATATACCTGATTAAGATTATGAATAATACAAAGATATGTATTTGAACTTATTCAAAAAAATTTTACAAATCTATAGTGATTGGACTACAAAATCTAAGGCTCTATTGCCTGATAAGATGGATGGAGGTCCAAGGGCAAATTTGGTTGAACCTTTAGAAATGTTATAAAATATAGAAAAAATGATAACAATTTCTTCTAGTGAAAAATTGTAATCATATTTAAGAAAAATAATTGTCAGTGCAAATTAATTATAAAGAAAATATCTAACTGAAAATGTCAATGAAAAATTTGATCCTGATAAAATTTATGAAAGAATAACTAAATTAGTTGATAATTTAAAGGCTTAAATTTCTAATCTACAAAGTCAAGTTCAAAACTATAAATAATCTTCAAATGTATTTTTGATATCTTATATAGTGTTTAACTTAAATACATACATAGAGATCTAAGTCTTTTTTTCATGAAAAAGAATAAATTTAATCGTGAATAACTTTTATTTTTTAACATAAAAATGTTTTGTTTTTTTGATATAATTTAAATAAATTATAATATTTCAAGATAGTCTTTTAGATTAGACAAAATTCATATAGTCTTCTTTAAGTCTCTTTTCTTCACTTGCATCACTTAATTTTAAATTCTTAATAATTGAATCAGCAGATTTATATTTCCAATTAGAAACAACTTTCTCCTTAGATTCAAAATCTCTTCTGACATTCCGAAATGAAGCTTAAATAACTTATTAAATTTATTTGGCCTTTTTTTCTGGATTTTCTGACTTATATGCTTATTAGTACATCAAAGAGAGGACTAGATTATCTCTTGGAATTCTTGGTAATTTACTAATAGACTCAAAAACCTAATTCAAATCTACTTTAGAATTTGAAGATGTATTGGACATCATTGTAGGTAATTTAAGATTCAACTAGCTATTTTTTCTAGCTGGACTAGCTCTTTCGGTGGAGAATGTTCTTTCATTAAGAAAAAGATACTTACTTTTCTTTTTGACTTCTTATGCAATGATCATCATTACATTAAGTTTGTTAAGGTTTTTTAAGCAATCTTGCTTAATATTGTTGTAAAGCATTACTATAGACTCTTTATAAAATAGTTTTATTGGGAGAATTTCCAATAGAATTAACATCTTAAAAATTACTATCAGCAAGATTTTAGAAAACTTTTACTTAACTTAGTTTATCACCTTAAACTTCAATAATTTTTTTATTAACAATTTTTTTTGAAGCATCATTTCTTCTATTAGTTAATTGATCTTGAGCTGCTTAATAGATTTCATCTTTTTATACTACTTAAGATTTAGCAGTTTGATATATAAGAGTCCAATGTTTAAGTATTACTTTTGTTGTACTTTTAAAATTTTCATAAATTTATATATTGCCTAAGTTATCAAAGAATTTAGATTGTCTAATTTTATATACTATAAGTCTAGGTGATATTACTCTTGCTCTTGTAAATCTTGGTATTTTATGGAAGACTTCTACATCTCCAAAATGTTAATTTTCACCATAAGAAGAAAGAACTAAATGTTTAGAATTCAATTATTTAGACAATTCTACTTAACCATTAATTATGAAATATAGATGATTAGATCTTTCATTTTCTTCATATAAAATTTCAGATGCTTTATAAGTAATTAAATGACACTCTAAAAGAATTCCCATAATTTCATTTAATTCAAATTCAACTTCTTTAAAAATTGGAGTTTATGTAAAATATTATATTTTATCATCTAAAGACTTACTTAAGAATGGATCAAGAAGTGTAATATAGGCTTATTCACTTAAAAATAATAGATGAGAGTTTTCAATTGCAAATACAGTAGAAGATCTTGCTATATCTAATTTGATTGCTGCCTCCCCAAAAGCACTTAAATTTAATAATAACATTACTCTCCATTTATTAAGACTTTAAGAATGATATAATCTGGAAATGTACTCTTCAAACCATAGGGATCAGGATCATTTCTTCTCATCAATTATATTTAAGCTTTGCCTTCTAATTCCTGTTCTAATTTTTTAGAACCAACCATTTTCTCTCTTGGTTTCATTACTACACATTTACCATCTAATATGATGTAATATTTTTTATTTTGGTCTCCTTATCTATAAACAGCAGTGTTAGCAGGAACATATAAATATCTATAAATCTATAATAAAATTACCTTAATTCAGAGAAAACCTTATTCATAACTTCAGGTGGAACTTACTCTTTCATCAATCGTATAGCTCTAACCATTTGCAATTATTCTATCAATACTGGAGAAGTTGGAAATATAAAATTAGGCAGACTTTTAGCCATTAATCTAGATGGCTTTCTACCTACTTTAGGAGTATTTTCATAATCTATTTATGGTCTATTATTTAACTCTTATTTTATGGCTTCAATATCCAAAAACTTTTTCTATCTTTTTGTTTCTTTGTTGCCATTTTGTAAGAGTAGTTATTATTATTGCTATTCTTCTTCTGAATCTGAGTTATTTTGAGGTTTCTTAAAATCAAAAAGTTAACGATCAGAAACAGCGAATTATGAAGGCATAATCATTTTTAGATAAAATATAAAATGACTAAAGATTATATTATAAACTTTTAATAAAGTCTATTATATACTTTATTATGGTGTCTTCTTTTCATTAAATCAAATTATATTTGTTATTAATTCATCTAATCTTATAATGAAATGATAAATAGATATAAAAAAGTATTAAGATAAAATTTATAAAATAGTATTATCAAAGTACAAATTCAATTATACTCTAATTATGCAAATACTTCTGCTATCATCTCTAATTTAACAGGTTTAGTAATAAATGCATCAAATCCAACATTTTCACATCTTTCCTATTCACTTTCATCATCAAATCCTGATATCGCAATTATTTTTACATCTTCTATAAGTTATTAAGCAATCTTATTTTAAATAATAATATTACCATTTCTCTGATCTTAGTTGCTGCTTTCCATCCATTCAAAATTGGCATAAAAAGATCCATTAAAACATATTTAATGTTCTTGCTTTTCTAAAATGTTTATAACTATACATATAGTATATATATATAATTACTTTATTAACAGCTTATTAACCATTATAAGCTTCTAAAAATGAAACATTTGATGAAATATCCTATAATAATAATTTCAAAGCCAAAACGTTAAATGGTTGATCATCAACAATTAATATTGTAAATATTTTATTTTATAAAATCCTTTATAATCTTGATCTAGGATCTATGATTTCTTATGAATCATCTAAATTCTATTCTTTAATTTTTATTCTGCTTGGAGTTGGTGATCTTAAATTTTATAATATATTTATGTTTTGTAATTTCTATTATCCTTCATCCTCATATTCTGGATTAAAATCAAAACCTGCTTCTGTATCATTTTTATCTACAGGTCTTGTATAAACACGTAAAACTGATGATCTTACAAATTTTTATTACATCTATTCCTATTCATCAATTAATGATGAACTTTCAACATTAAAATTTTTAGAACTACTCTCCTATTTAAATACACTAATATAATTAGGAGATCTTTTTGGATCATCAGGTAATCTAGAATAAATTTAAAATGACATTTTGGTTCCTTTGTTTTATTCACTCCATAATTCAATTTTCTCAGATGGACCCAATAATTTAATAAGTTTTTTACAAACCATTAATCCAATACCAGTTCCACTTTTATTTTGAACATCCTTACTTGGAAATGTTGCATACATATTAAATAATTTAGGTTTAATTAAATCTGAAATACCACAACCTGTATCTTAAATAGATATAGTATAAACCATTCTATTTTATCCAGATTAAGACTAAAAAGATTTTCCAGATAATTATTTACGCAATTATCCAATTGTTTATTAATTTTATTATTAATTAAGTACATTTTTGGATGAAACTGCCCTTACTATATGATTAGCTTTGTCAGTTTGTAAAGATTCAACTGATATTTTAATTGATCCTTGTTCAGTAAATTTTAATGAATTAGAAATAAAATTCATAAGAATTTATTTGATACGATTAGGATCACTATAAATTTAATATGATGGTATGTCATAATGTGTTTATATAACAACTCCTTTTTATTCTGCTTAAATAGCAATTAATTCAATAACCTCATCTATAACTTCATTTAAGTAAAAATTACTAACACTTAATCTTAATTAATTTTTTTAGATTCTAGCAAAATCTAAGATATCATATATCATATATAACATTAAATATACATTTTTTCTAATTATTCTCAAATAATATTTAGAAGCTGCATTAAGATTGTATTTCTCTTCCATAGCTTCTACAATAGTACAGATTCCATTAATGGGAGTTTTAAAATCATGAAACACTGTTGCTAATATTTAATCTTTATTTTCATTCTATTTTTTACTTTCTTCAAGTTCTTCAGTTAATATTTGTAATAATTTTTAGTTCTCTAAATCTTTTAATGAAATCATAAATGCTTCTTTATTCTTCCATATGCAATACTAAATTATTATATTTATTCTTTTTTATTTTAATTCATTAATTCCAAATAATTTATATTAACTATCTTTAAATCTAAATTTGCTCTTTCCATATTTTGGATTATCATCATTAAATTAATTGGAAACTGGAAATTTTAAGTTTTCTATTTAAGATTTTGGACTATCAAAATTTATCAATTCATGCTTTTCTTAATTGATTTCATCTTACAATAATGTAGCTAATTTTTTATTTTATTGTGTTTCTACATAATAATAATCTTCATTTGATATTTCTTTCAATTTTAGATATTATACTTGACTTTTTTATTCATATGATAATTTTTATTCATCAAAAATACTCCTAAGAGTTTTTTGTGAAGAGTCTTAAAATTATTAAAGACACTGTATAAAATAATCTTGATTTGTAGAAGTATAATTAAATTATGATTCCATTTGATTGGTATGAAATAGGGGCTCTCTTGTTTAAGCATCTAATATTAGAAGTGGATTCGTTAATGTTGTTTAAAAAAAATCAATAATTGAAGAAGAAAGATTCTCTTGAGATTAATCAATAATAAATATAAGAGGAACATAAGCTAATCCTAAGTATGGAAACATATTCAAATAAAATTATAATCTGATTACAAGGTAAAAATAAGTTACTGAAAATAGAATGATTCGAAAAGTAATTCTTTCTATTTATGTTGTTAAAATAAATAATCTGAGACATAGAAACAAAATATATTCCTATTTATTAATATAGTTTATACAGAAGATTAAAGAGATCCTAAGTATTCAATCTATAATATTTAGCATAAAAGGTATGAAACGCCTAAAAATGTTTCTCTTATTAGGTCATTTAAAAACCTTTTATATTACAAAATAATAAATGCAATCATCAAAATAAGCTCTGCTATGAATATTATATTAAAGTTAAAACAACAGCTAGTCTAAATAAAACTGACTATTCCAGCAATTAAACTAATCGTCGCATCACAGAATCCAAAATATAGTAATCTATTATTCATATTAAATTAAAATTATTATAAATCAATTCTTCACATCCAATAATCAACTATTTTTCAAATTTCAAATCTCTTATTTGAGCAAATAATAAAAAAAATTTATAATTTTATCATCTTATTGTAGCTTATCAACTCATAAATAATGGTAAAATTTGCTAATTAATTAAGATTTAATATATAATAATCCATTAATTAATAGTTTTCATTAGACTTTTTTGAATTAAGTGATAAAATATAAAATAGTTAATATTTTTTAATATCTATAAATTTTATATCAAATGATATATAATATTTTAATATATTTTTATAGGTATTGTTTATTGTGTTAAAATTTATCTTAAAATGATTATAATTTCTATAAAAGCATGAAAAAATTTTTAAATTTATAAATATATATATTATAAGTTATTGAATTTGAAAAAAAAGAACTCAATTCTCTTCTTTAAATATTTATTAATTCATGATATTTAAGATGCATTTAAATTTGTATCTCATAGTAATTTATTTATGTTATATTTATAAATTATTTTAAATTTTATTTCATGAATAATTACTTGAGTGATATAAAATAAATAACACATGAAAAATATTAAGAACTAATATAAAACGAAAAAGTTAATTAAAATGCTGTTTTAGCTTCAATCTCATTAGTTTAAAAAGAATAAAATGTAATTTTATGTTCTTTAGGAACAGGATCAAAAGCAGTAGGATTAAATCATATGAATGAATAAAATCATTGTTTACATTCTTGTCATGCAGAAGTTATTGCCAAAAGAGGGTTTTAATTATGGTTATATGAAGTATTCTCTAAACCTAATGAAATTGATAAATATTTTGAAAAAAAAGAAACTAAATATTCATTAAAGAATGATTATAAAGTTTGCTTTTATGTAACTTAACCACCTTGTGGATAGGCATAATTATTTCCAGAATCAAAAATATATGGAATGAGTGCAGCAAGACCTTTTTCAGAGTTCTTTAAAGAAACAGAAAATATTCCAAATTGTGATTCCTAAAGATTAAGAAGTACTCCAGCCAATTCTAAAACACCTATTTAATAAAAAAATCCAAGTTTTTGTTGTACAGATAAACTTATGATTTGGAATATAGTAGGAATTCAAGGTGCATTATTGAATTAATACATTAATCCTATTTATATTGATAATTTAATCATTGAATTTAGAGAGCAATTTAGTTTGAAATAAGTATTCGATGTGAGAAAAAGATCAGGTAAAAATAAGAATGATATTTTAAAAATAAATAATAAATTAATCAGCAAATAATTTAGGATCTAAAAACCAAAACTAATTTATACAAGAAAAAATCTATTTACTCATAGTCCTTATCATCCTAAAAATGATGAATTAAATAAAAGGATTAATAAAGATATAAATTAATAAAGTCTATAATCATTTAGTTATTTATATGTGGATTCTTGTGGAACTGAAAAGATTAATTCAATTAATGGTTTAAAATGGGGACTTGCCAAAAAGGATATATCCAGATTATAATTTCTACCAAAAATAACTAAATATTAATTGTTTTAAAAGTTTAAAAATTTATATTATTCCTTTGAATCCAAATAACTTTTATGTAATTACAGAGAAGCAAAAAATAGAAATATTAAATATTTATGTTTAAAAACCAATATAAAATAATGCTTTTAAGAGTGGAGTCTTAATAAAATTCAATATGAGTAATTTTAATGATTGAATTAAAGTATATAATTTTTACTTAAATTTCTTATATTATTATAATGAATTAAAGAAATAAAGAATATTTTTTATATCATAAATTATCAACAATTGGTTTTAGTTATTGCAATTATTTTAAATGTTTTTATCTTAGTATTTCTTTACGATATTTTTCGAATTCTGCCACAAGATTAGTATTACCATACCATGTTGGATGATAAGCAATTTTACAATAATTATCTAAAATTTCTTTTTATATTGTATTTTAATATGCTATTTTTTTTTATGGATATTAAAATTTAGATGCAACTTGAATTGCATAAATTTATGATGGATCACTTATTTATTTTAAAATCCCTTAAAATTCTTTGGGAAGCACAGTTTCTTTAACTTTTTGACCATAATAATTTAATTTTACTATATACATATATAACTCTCTAGATGTTTTATCAATAATATTAAATTCGTATATATTTTCTTTATTCTTTTCTATTTGATAATTAATCATTTGGTTAATTGTTTTTTTTTCATTAGATATAATTTTTCTATACTCCTTACTTAACAATCTCATTTAAAACACTTATTTCAATTCTAAGTATGGGATTACAAATCTAATAACCTTTTTAAACTTCTTAGATTGTTTTGAAATGGTATATTGATTTTTTGATATAATTAATTTAAGCATCTCTTGTTATTAATTAAATTCTAACCAGAGCTACTCTAAGTTTTGTGATAGACTAATAGATTTTTACTATAATATTTCTAAGTCTTTTTAGGCTTAAGAGGTTTCCATCTATGATTCCCTAAATAAATTATATTTATTATAAGTATTAAAATAATATATTTATTTTTTTTTGATATCTAAGATAATATTATAAAAAATTATGTCATATTCTTTATAAGAATAGTTCTGATTGATTTAAATAATTAATGTATTTAATTTTATTAGTGAGAATATACAAATTGTTAATTTTATGATAAAAATTTATATATTATAATTGATTACATGAATTATGTTTAAAATTATAGATTGATATTCTATTTATTTAATGATTAGGACTAAAATTGAGATAATAGTTATTTCTATTTAAGTTATAAACTAAAAATCAAAGTTCAATTATTTTACAAACGTTCAGATCTAAATCTTCTTGATTATTTAGGCTATTCATTTTGTCTTCTTATTTCATTATACAAATCTTCATCTTTTCCATTTTCACAATGATTACAATTACATTCTACAGTACAATGTTTCTATCTGATATAACATTCACAATATCGTTTTTAGCATCTGGTCTTCTTACAATTACATCCCCATATATCCTTTGTTTCAAATAATTTCTCTTAAGGCACTTTTTTATTTCTATGTGCCTTTTTCTTTATATATTCAACTGCTTCATCTCTTTAATCGATATTATTATTAGTATTTTGACAATCTTCACATTTACATGATTCTACACAAGTTTAACCATTATGAAAGCATGAACAATACATTTTAAGACAATTAGTTTTAGTACAACTACATGGTTACCATTTTGCAATATCATTTTTAGGACTTTCTTCTTTCTTTTCATCTATATCTATAAATTTATTGATCACTTAATGTAATTAATCATTGTTATCAATAGCAGAATTTCTTATTTAGTATTAAATACATTTTACAATTTTCTTAATTTTAGTAATTTTGGGGATTGTTTGTTCTCTAAATCAATTTCACTAAACTCAGAACATTTACTCCAAACCAATAATAATTTTGGTGGTCTAATCTCTTCTGATAGTTCAGGATTACTCATACAATAATTTTTAAATATTATATATTTAATATAAATTTATAAAAAGAAACTTCAATTTCTAATAATTATAGCTAGATGACCCTTTTCATTAAGATTTATAAATTTATTTCTATTCATTATATTTAGAAATCAATTATAGCTTTTTAAAAATATTTTTAATATTATATAATATTATAAGCTATTAAATTTTCTGATAATTTGATTATTAATAATAAAAATTATGATTTCAAATAGTTGAACTAAATAATAAAAATTATTGTCTCATAAGTTTAAATTTAACATTAAAAGAATATCTAATAAAATTGTATTTGAGTCAAGAATTCATAAATTATTATTGCAAAAATAAATATTCTAATTTTAATATATATCATAAATATTATGAATAAAAAGATGTTAAGAAAATTTTGTATAAAAAATATAATTTTATTATTACAAATCAAGTTAATAAGAATAGTTTATTCTCAAAATTTATGTTAATTCAATTGAAGATCTTATTTAACTTTTATATAATATGATGTATAAGAATATGTTAATGAAAAATAAAGATTAAGATTTCTGGATTATTTATTATAAAATAAAATGCTTAAAATGAAGTTAGAATTTAACAAATATATTCTAATTTTTAATTAGATTAAGAGAAACATTAATAATATTATGTAATAAGAAAATTAATACATTTTTATTTATTATTAATATAAATGTATTAATTTCACTAAAATTAAGATCTCAATTATGATGAATTTGATCCTGATAATTTGGATATAGAAGATGTAGTGAAGTAAAGATGGAAATAAAGAAAAGGAAATGTAGTTGGAATGCAAAATAATAGATTACCTCCGATAAGAAAGAAATTTATAGATGTAATTAATAAGTTTTTTATTCAGCCAATAATATCATAAACACGTCAAATTGAAGAATTTTTAAAAATTAATTAAATATCATTCAAAACACCAGATGGAAAACTTCCTGCTGATCCTTTTTTATCTTGGGATTGTTTAAAACTTCCCCCTAAATTAAAAAATGTAATCGATTAGCTTAAATTTAATTATCCTACTCCTATTTAATCTGTAGGTAATAATAAAATATAAAAATTTATAGTATTCCCATTAATTTTAAGTGGATATGATGTTATTGGAGTAGCAGAAACTGGATCAGGCAAGACATTTGGGTATTTATTACCAGGTCTTATATAATTATCTGGTCAAAGTTATCCAAATAATTTTAGAAATTAAATAAATGGACCTGAAATGTTAATTTTAGCACCTACTAGAGAATTAGTTATGCAAATTACTCAATAAGTAAAATAGTTTATGAGACCTGGAGAGGTTGCAAATGCTTATGGAGGTTTAAATAGAGATGAATAAGCATAATAAATAAAATAAAATCCAACTATTTTAGTAGCTTGTCCTGGAAGATTGAAAGACTTTTTAGATAGTGGAATAGTAGATTTATCAAAAGTGACTTATCTTGTTATAGATGAAGCTGATCGATTATTAGACATGGGATTTGAAGATGATGTTAGATATATAGTATAACAAACTAGATTTGATAGACAGACTGTTTTCTTTTCTGCAACTTGGCCTAAAGCTGTAAGAAATTTATCATTTGATTTTTGTGCAGAGAATCCAATATATATTTAAGTGGGTAGATCTAATCTAACAATTAATAAAAATATAGATTAAGAGATAATTTGTTTGTATAATAATGAAAAATTATAAACATTACTTGATATATTAGATTAATTGAAAATTACTGATAAAGTATTGATATTTGCAGAAACTAGAATGAGTTGTGAATAATTATCGGTTGATATGACTAATGAAGGATATTATGCAGTTGCACTTCATGGAGATAAAACATAAAGGCAAAGAGATGAAATTATGTCATATTATAAAAAGGGTGATACTAAATTACTTTGTGCCACTGATTTAGCCTAAAGAGGATTAGATGTTTCTGATATTACAGTTGTAATCAACTATGATTTTCCAAAATATATTGATGATTATATTCATAGAATTGGTCGAACTGGAAGAGCTGGTAGAAAAGGAAGAGCATTTAGTTTTTTTTCTTTTGAAAAAGATTCACCATAAATGGCAAGAGAATTATTAAAATTGAATAATATACATTCAATTAAATTTAATTTCTAACTAATGTAAGAAATAGCAAATGGAATAAGTAATTAATTATAATTTAATTTTAGAATAATATAGAGATCCTAATACTTTGAAGGGTACAATGAAATATGGTGGTTAAATTATGACTCATAAGAATAATCCTAAATTTAATATGCCATATTTAACATAAGAGGAAAGGTCAAAATTATATATGTAGCCACATCAATATGAAAATGTGTAATATATACTAAATATAATTTTAGTTAAAATAGAAATAGATAGAAGTAATATTAAGGATAAGATCACTAAAGGCGTACTCATGGATAATACAATAATAGGTAATATTAAAAAGAAGAAAATTTTTATTAATAATAATTTAGAGATTAAGTAATTTATTTATATATTAAGTTTAGGGGCATAATAATTAGAGACGATATTAGGATTAAAATTATAGACCATTTTAATAAGGAGAATAAAGTGATTTTCAAAGATAAAGTAGAGAAGATTATTTAGATTATGATAAAGTAAATGGTAGATAAGGAAACTAAAGAAATTAATAAACTAGATTTGGTAATCAAGGATAAGATTATCAACAATAAAATTATGGATAATAAAATAATTAATACGAAAATAATAGAATGTATTAAGAGAATTAAATGAATTAATTTGATCAAAATAGATAACGAAAGTTTTTATATCCTGATAAAGATTAACAATTTTCAAATAATAGAGATTAATTTTAAGAAAACAGAATGTAATTCAACTATAGGAATGATTAATCAAATAATGATTAAAGAAATTTAGTAGATACTTATCATAGATAATAAAATCATTAAAAAGATTATTAATTTGATTAATAAAGAGATTATAATAATAATAATTAGAGAGATTATAGATAACAATAAAATTATAGAAATTAAAATGATTATTAATAATCTTATGGTTAAAGATAAGGATTTAATAATTAAAGAGAAGATAATTAAACAGAATTCTATAGAAATCAAAATCCTAATCAAAAATATTGGGGTGATAATAATAATAGGTAAGGATTTACATAAAGATAAAATGATTAATAATTCATGAAAACATCTCCTCCAGATAATTATAGAGATAAAAATTTTGATTATTAAAGTAGAACAAATGAAAGAATTAATTAAGATGGTAGAAGAGGAAATCAATTTTCATGGCAATAATAAACTAATTATTAAGATAATTAAAAGTTTAATAATTAAAATAATGATCATAATAGACCAAATAATAGAAGAAATTTTGTGGATGTTAGTGAATCTTAAAATGATAAATAATAAATAAGGATAGATTAATTTCAATAAGCTGAATCTATTATTGAACCTAATTTTAATAACTTTAAATTTAATGAAGATCAAAATTAGGATAATAATAAAAATAATGATTACAATTAAAACTAATATCATCCTAATTAAGAGTAGAATAGAAGATTTAATATAATAGAAAATGATTAAGAATAAAGAATCAATTCAAATACACAATAACCTACTATAAATAGATTTTATGATAATTAAAAATAGAGTCCTAATATTCAAATTCATCAAACAAGATTAGAATATTCTAATGAATAATAATTTGAATAAAAATAAGTTCCAAATACTTTTTTCAATGAAAGATCTCAAAATTAACCTTAAGTGTATAATTTAGATATATATATAGGTTTGATAGATAGAATAATTAAAATTAAGGTTCTCTTTAAGATTAAAAAATGGATTAGTTACCATTTGAAAATTAAAGATAAAATAATTAGAGACCCAATTTCATTTAATAATAGTTTCAGAATAATAATTTTAGATAATCCCAAAGTGATTAATAAACTTTCAATAGGAATGAAAGAATTTAAGATGAATAATAAGAAAATGATGATGATGATAATAAATATGATTTTACTAAATATTCTTTATAAGTGGAAGATAATTGTAAATAATTTGAACCTTAATAAGTCTAAAAGTATTATAAATATTAAAATTTTAAGATCAAATGAATAAGATATAAACAACAGTAGAAAGAATTCAAATTAATAAGAAAATTAAAATTAAGAATAATATAATGTAGATTCTTAAGTATAATATTGAGGATCTGAAATAAAATAATATAATAATTTAATATTATTGTGCCAAGTTTATATTAATTATAACGAATTATGAGTCGTCTTTACACATTAGAAGATGAATAGCTAGATTATGGTTTAGATTATGAAAGTGTCTTAGTAATTAAAGAACTTGATTAAAAAAAGTAAGATAAGACAAATGACAAAGATCTATAATAATTTTTAAGTCTTTAATTTTATAGCAGACATCAATAATAACAAAAATCATCAATTAATTTAAGGAGTATTTAAAGATTAATAACTGAACAAAAAGAGAACAATAAAAAATTAAAAGAGAATAAACCAATCAATTACAAAATTAAGACTCCATCCTTAAAACCATATTAAGGATCAATTATTACACCAAAATGTTAAACAAAAACACCTTAACTTTCAAAAACAATTAAATCGACAATTACTATTACGCCGTTAAATTTTAAGGATTCTTTACAAAAAATTAAATTGTTAGTTTCTAAATAACAATAAAAACATTAGTTAGACTTTAGCAAATTTAAAAAGTCAATATATTGATTTAATAATTTGTATTAAGATTCTTTAATTTAGTTTTTTAAGTAAAATATTTGATTCCAAACATTGAGTTAATCCATATACTTTAGATTATAATCTAAAATAAACAAAATTTTGCAATTGATTAATATCGATTTTATTATTATCAATATTTTAATATATCAAGTAGAAAACATATGTGATATAATTTAAGTATTTAATCAAGATCAATGTTGAAATTAGTCTAGATGTAATTGATAAGTTCAAGAATTTTAAGAAAAACAATACCAAATAATTTCTATTAAATTAGTTGTCTTGATATTTTGAGTCAATATGGTAAATTTTTAGGTAAAACAAAAATAAATTATAAATTTAATGCAAATTAATGTTAGATAATCTTCAAAAAGTAGAATATTACTAGCTATGATTGAAAACTATTAGAAATCTTCTGATGAAGAAGCTATGCTTGAGGCCTCCAAAAATAGTTCAGTTGCTTAAATTGAGAAGAAATTTAAAAAAAGTTAAGTTAATCAAAAATATCAATTTCCAAGAACAGATGAAAATAACTAGAGAATAAGCTCAGAATCTCCTATAGCAAAACAATTTTCTCCTAAAGAACATAATTAATAGAAGGACAGCTTTAAAGACCTTTTAAAAAAAATATACCTCTCTAATCTAAAGAAAAAATCAAGAAAAACTTAGCTCAATCCAGAATTTATAAAATAACAGTATTCAATACTACAGCAATCTCATCGTAAATCATTTTAGACTACAAATAAATCAAAATTATAATATTCTTTAAGTTAAAATAGGCTTTTAACAGATGTAGGTTATAAATAAAGTTACTCAAGGGGATAGTCTCCTTAAATTAAGTAGTTTTACTCTAATCGTCAAGTTGGAACACAACTTTCTAAGTTTATGGATTATAATGCTATTGAAAAACAAAAATCTTAATAAAATTTCTATTAACAACACTCATGTAGAAGTTTTGAACTAAGATATTAATTTAACAAATCACCTTATTCATTATTGTAAAATAAAAGCTTTGATTTAATTAAATAGCTTTCATAATTTTCAAGTCTATAAAAATTCAAATCTAAAAATAATTGATATTGCTTCAAATTATTGATTAAAATAAATATAAATTTTCAATTTTTTATATACATCTTTTAATTTAAGGATATTTTATTTTGGCTTTATTTTATGTAACCATATCTTTAGGTTATTAAATTTACATATTCCAATTTCCAGCTAACTAATAATATTGACAATTTGTTTAAAGTTTAATTCAAAATATACTAAAATAAAACAGTAAAATAAGAAAGATCATAGCATAAGATATTTCTTGATAACTTTAAGTAATATATATTTCTTTCATTCATTCATAGATGAAACTCCTATCTTTTTTAATCATATTAATAATTATTTTAAAGATCTAATAAATCAACAAATTTATAAATGATCATTTTCAAAGAAAATATATGTTACTTTTAAATCTAATTAATCAATTCTAAAATTTTTAAACAAGAACCCAATGAATTATTATAAGAACTGTAAATTTATTTATAATTTTATGATCTAATAATTTTAGTTTTATAAAACTTATGTAAAACATCAATACTTTTATAATAATCGATTTCACAATATTACATAAATTCAAGGAGAATTATTATTTTTTATAAGCTAAATTATTCTAATTTCTTTAATAAGTATTACATTAGATAAGTCAACAAAATTTCTAAATTTCATAAGATTCTATATAATTGTTTTAAAAGAAAAATAATTTAAACTCCTTAATAGTAGTATATATTTCTTTCTGACAAAATTCATCTTATTAATAAATTTTGAATAAGTATAAGACTATAATTCATTCTGGATAGTAAATTATTGTTTTATGTTTTAAATTATATTCATTTTTGTAATTTCTAAAAATAAAATATAAGTTATTTCTTTTTATTAATATTATCAATTTTTATATGAAAAAATAATAATAATAATCTAAGTCTCTTTCTAGTCGTAAACCTTAAGATAATGGTAAGTCAGTCAAGATGCAAGAGAAACTAACTAAAATATAAGAAGCCTTTAATTTTAATAAAGCATCTAAATATATTGTACTGATTATTTATAATTATAGTTTTAATCTGGATTTTAAGAGAGAGCATGGTTAATTAAAAGAGGTTATTAAGATAGGATTGATTTTAAGGACTCTGAAATAGCAGAGTTGAGAAAATATTTTTCATCATTAGATGGAGATGGATCAGGTGCTATTGGAATAGAAGAATTAGAAGACCCACTTATTGCTCTAGGATTAGTTAATTCAAGGGAAGAAGTAGAAAAAATTATGAGTGAAGTTGATGAAGATGGAACAAACGAAATTGAATTTAAAGAGTTTCTAACAATAATGAGAGGAGTTTAGAAAGGTGGAAATGTAGATTAAGGAGAAAAAAATCCAATTTATGATTTTTTTAAAAGTAAATCATATTACAATTATTTTAGAAATGAGTAATGGTCAATTAGAAAAGGGAATGGATAAACATATTCCATTTAAGTTAAATGTTAGTTTATTTAGAAGAAAACAAATATTAAGTATAAATCAATATAAATTTAGATGCAATAACTGGTGATTAAAAAGAATTAAAAGATAAAGGATAAAAAATATTATAGGCTTATAAGAGACAGTTACTGAATTATAAACAATAAGACAGAATTAATAGAGGAGAGGATCCTAATGGTAATTTATTAGATATTTATAATAGACATCTCTTTAGATTAGTTTCCAAACAAAGATAATGGTCCTAATCCAAGAAATGGATTTCCAAAATTATAAAGAGTTATATAGCCAGAATAAACTATTGGAAATAATCATAAACACTATGATAAATGATGAGATCAATTCTGTTAAATCATAAATTTAGTATTATTAATTATCCATTCTAAATGTGAATATCATCGTTTTAAATTATAAAATTCATTATATTGATTATATTTGAATTGTAAATTTGCTAAAATTAATTAACTTTTATTAATTTTTAATTTGTTTTGTTCAATTATCAAATAATTATTTGTAATATTTGATGCATATATGATAATTAATAATACTTTATTTTGAAATGGATATTTTATAATTATTTATCTAAAATATTTATTTAGAATTAATAATTTTATATTATATCTTTTCTATTAATAAATTCAAAGTTAATAGTTTAAATAAAGAAAAATAATAATGAAAATGAATATTTAATTCTTATTAACTTATGAAAATTAACTTAGAATTATTTATTTATTAATTAGTAATAAAATAAATTTCTAATTAATTCATAATAATTTCATTTTCCTAATCAAAAACTCAAATGTAGCTTTATGATGTTTTATAAATAATGTATATAATATTTATTTACTTAAGTTTATTTGTTTAAAAGATAAATAAAATTAGAATTTTATGTTTACTTAAAAAAAATAAAATTTATTATATATTACTTATAATGAACTTTAAATAAAAAAATATTAGACAAACAAAAGTATAGTTTTACTATGAATAAGCATAAGAAAGAAGAAAGAGGTTTTCAATAAAAAATGTTAAAACTTATTAATTATTTCGATCTCCATAGAAAAGTTCAAGAATAATTAGAAAAAATAAACTTGACATTAGTTCTACAAAATTAGGTAATTCAAGTTGTTGCTGTTCAGATTGTGGAAAAGAGTCAGTTTTTAAATAGAGAATATTCAAAATTTATACCTTTACAGAAACTTAGCATTCAAAATAGGAATAGTTAAGATAGTAATAAATAATGGATCGTTACAGAAATTCTAAATATATCAAAACTTTTAAGAAACTTGTTTATTGTTTACTTTTTATTATTAGATATAAAATAGTTTAAAATATCAGATATAGATAACGACAAAGAATGAAAAAAGCATTTAAAACAAGAATAGATAATCCAAGGATGACATTTCTTAATGTTTTAGAAATTGCATCAAAGTAATTTCATATCAGTCCTAAATTTAAATCAGCAACTAATTTTGATTATATCTTTAGCTAAAATGCTACAGCAGTAAACTCTCCTTAAGATTCAGATGAAGAATTTTATCATTTTAAACCAAGAAAATCTTTGGTACAAAAATTAACATCAGATGAATAATATATGCATAAGAAATTATCAAAATCTCAATAAAAACTATATTTAATAACTGGATTGAATACAGTTTTAAATTAATATGTTACAAAGAAATTAAACTAAACTCAATAAAAATCAATCAATTAACAATAATAAAAAATAATATAACCTCCATTACTTTCTAAACATACTTCTCCTAGATAAAATTAATCAACTCATTTACCTAATATCAAGTTAAAATAAATAAATTGAAAATATTATTGACTTAAATTTTTGGTTATTGATTGTACAATTATAATTTAAATTTCTAAACTTAAATCATATATATATATTTATATTCATCTATCTTATCACTTTATATTATTTATATTAAATTTATAAATAAATGAAATAACAAAATAATGAATAATAAATTTATAAGAAATAAGAAAAGGATATAGAAAAGATAATTAATTGATAAAAAATATAAATAAAAAATGATAAAGTGATGGAAATTTGATTTTATTAATAGAGTATTAAATTAAGCCCTAATAAATAACTAAGTAATTAGTTTATGGAGACTAAAAATCATAATAGGTAGAGCTGCAAAGTTCAATCAATTAATTTTTTCGTGAATTTAAATAAGAATATTTTATCTTTATCACCAACTTTTTTCTTCATCATTTAATTTCTCTAATCTAAAATATTACTATGGTACAATATCTTCATCGTTAATTTTTGGTATATATGGTAACAATTTTTTCTTTTCAGAAAGTTCTTACCAATTTAGTCCATAGAACCACTTATGTGATTAAATGTCTTTAAAGTCATTCTCAAATCCTATACGACTTTAACTGTCTCTTTAAAGCAATTTCGTTATAAAATCTTTACATTCATAAGATATTGCATAAGTTTTTGGAAAAAATAATTCTCCTTTACAAATCATCCTAATTGCTATTTCATGATTAGGATGATAAAATGGAGATATTCCAATCAACAATTCATAGAGTAAAATTCCTAAACTATACCAATCAGACATTCTTGTTAAATCTCCTTATAAGAGGTATTCTGGAGCAGCATATTCAACTGTAAAATTAATAGATTATACTTTTTTAAACTCTTAGTAAACTCTAAGTCTACCAAATCCAAAATCTGTTAATTAAATATAACCATTTTCATCGATTAATATATTTTCAGGTTTTAAATCTCCATATATAGTTCCACTTTCATGTAGATATGATAATCCTAAAGCTATTTATGCAATAATATATTTAGCTTCTAATTCTGAAAAATAATTTATTTCTTAAAGATGAGTGAATAAATCTCCACCTTTCACAAATTTGAAAAAAAAATGTATTTAATCCTATTATCTTAAACATAATTCTAATTTTTCTAAATATACAGATTAAGTATAATTTTCTAAATGAAATTGTAATATATTAACATCAGTTTCATAAGAATTAATAGTTTTGAGAACTAAGAATTGTTATTGCTTTTCAAATTTTTGGTTTATTAACAATACTTTACTAAAAGAACCTTAAGCAATAATAGCAAGTTTTTAATAATCTTCTAATTTTATTCTTAAATTTAGAGGATCATTAACATATAAAATGCTTATATTTTTATTTTTGACATTTTTATTTTATGTAAACATCAAATTTATGTATGATAATTGATAATTTTCAGGATATAACAATTATAATTTGGTTTTTGGGTGTAAAGCAATTTATTTTTTACAATCAGATGTTGCATCATGTAAACAAAATTGATCTAACTCTTCATTATCTACAATATAAATCCTTAAGCCATCTTTATTATTTAGTTTAAGGACAATTGATAGATAATAAAGAATAATATCTCTATTTTCTTATGATTTGAAACGATAATCACTTTCTTAAGGAACATGTAAAACAAATTCATAACTTGACCTAGAAACTGTTACTCCAAATATTTTATGAATTGAAATCTTTCTTTTTATTGATTTCTTATCAATATTATAGATGTTTTCACTAGAGATTACTATTGTCCTTTATTATTCTGTATTTCTTTTATTTATTTTTCCTGTCAATCTTGAAATTAAAACCAACTCTGATTCTGATGCTTGCTTTCTGAAATATTTTTCATTATTGATATTTAATACATCGCTGATTTACAATCTCAATTATCCAAAATAGGACAATACAATTTATTACTAATGCATATTTTAAAATTTATTATAAAATTAATACTAAATATTACAATCAATATCTCAAATAATAATAAACTTCTAAATTACCTTTCCATTCCTATTATTTACATCAAATATAAATGATATTTTATATTATATAAAATTACATCATAGCCTTTATGATAATACTAAATAAATAAATAAATCATTTTTTTTTTTGAAAATACAGTAAAACTTTATTGATCTATTGAAGTATTTAAAATACAATATGATTTAGAGTTTTACAATTGGGCATATATTCAAAATCAATTGAGATATTTACTTAGCTTTATGCCAATATTAAATTTTATGAGATTGTTTGAATTTACCTTAAACATATATTAAATAATTTGAATAAGTTTTATTTTAATTTATGATTCGTATTTAGTAATTATAGAGTCAAATTGTGGAACCAGCTGGACTCAAAGGATAGTATTACGAATAAGTAAAAAATGAGGATTATATGTGTATAGAGACCATAAAATAAATTGGAATGGTTTAAAAATAATGGATGGGGATATAAGGATACAAAATTTATCTTAGAATAAGATGGAGGTGTTAGATTGACTGGAAATAAATACAGATTTTCAAATTAGAGGATGATGAAATTTAAAGAATGGGCAGAAGCTAAAGTTGGAATTGATTTAAGTCTTAATTGTGAAGCGTAAAATGAAATTCCTGCAGATCCACCTATAATTAATGAATAATTTATGAATGCCATTTAAGGATAATTTAATGAGGTTTCCTTTGATAATGCATAAAGAATATTGCATTCTCATGGACATACAATGTAAGAGGTATATAATATATTATATATAGATTTATGAATTAAGACATGGTAAATTAGCTAGAATAGTAGATTGTGTAGTGTTTATAAATTCTCATGCTTAAGCAGAATTATTAGTCAAATTAGCTGTAGAATATAATGTAATGTTGACAGTATATGGAGGAGGAACTAATGTTACTTGGGCATTATAATGTCCAAAGGAAGAAAGAAGAATGATTGTTTCTGTTGATACATCAAGAATGAATCATGTAAGATGGGTAGACAGAAAGAATATGACAGCTTTGGTTGAAACTGGAATTACAGGAAAGGATTTAGAGAAGGAATTATCAAGATATGGAGTAGTATGTGGACATGAACCTGATTCTGTAGAATTTTCAACTCTTGGAGGTTGGATTAGTACAAGAGCATCAGGAATGAAAAAGAATCGTTATGGAAATATAGAAGATATCATTTTATCTGTTAAAGTTGTTACTCCTACTGGAACTTTATCTTAAAGTTTAGATTATCCAAGAGTAAGTAGTGGTCCAGATTTGAATTAAATTGTTTTAGGATCTGAGGGTACTATAGGTATTATTACTGAAGCAGTTATTAAAATAAAAGCTTAACCTGAAGTAATTTAATAATTTTATATAAAGGTTTGTAAATATGAATCAATTCTTTTCCATAACTTTGCTTTGGGTACTGAATTTATGTATAAATTATCAAGAAGTAAAGTTTGGCCAGCTTCAGTTAGATTAGTTGATAATAATTAATTTTAATTTGGTATGGCTTTGAAAACAATGCCTCATAGTAAAAGAGAAGAATTTATGGATAAGGTGAAAAAGTATTTCATCACATAATTTATGCAATATGATCCAGATTAAATGTGTTTAGTAACAGTAGTTTTTGAAGGAACTAAATAAGAAGTGGAATTTTAAGAAAAGAAAGTTTTTGAGTTGGCTAAATTTTATAAGGGATTTAGAGCAGGAGCTGAAAATGGAGAAAGAGGATATTTCTTAACTTATATGATTGCATATTTAAGAGATTTTGCTATGTAATTTTAATTTATTGCAGAATCTTTTGAGACAGCAGTAGGATGGAAAAATGTTCCTGCTGTTTGTGAAAATGTAAAATAATGATTTAATTAATAGATTTAAAGAAGAATAGTAGAAGAGTGTTCAAAAAGAGGAGTTGAAAAGGAACCATTTGTTTCATTTAGAATTTCTTAAGTATATGATACAGGAGCTACTATTTATGTTTATTTTGGTTTTGGTTATAAAGGTATTGCAGATCCAGTTAAATGTTATTCTGAGATTGAGGATGCTGCAAGAGAGGAAATAATGAAGAATGGAGGTTCTATTTCTCATCATCATGGTATATAATTTAAATTAATTTATTTTAGGTGTTGGTAAGCTCAGGAAATAATTTATGTAAAGATAAATAGGAGATACTGGAGTAGAAATATTAAAAAAAATTAAATAATAGATAGATCCAAAGAATATATTTGGAAATTAGAATTTGATATGAAACATTTTATGAGCGTATAATTATTTAAAACTAACAGTTAAATGAATTTAAATTCAATTAATTTAAATATATTTTTAAGTAAATGAACAAGTCTGATACTATTCAAAATTAAGAGAACATTGATCCAAATATTGTTAGAAATTAAGTTTCTCAATAAAAAAAGTTTTCAAGAAGTTCAGGTCAAAAAACACCTTGGAGTGGGATGTAATTAATTTCTTTAAATTTTGATTAGCACTGGAGAAATAAGTCATTCAACAAATGATGATATAGAGATCTCTTGTTTCTAAGTAGGACCAGCAAAAATATCATCACTTTCAACTAATTAAGCTATTATATGTTAAACAAGATTAGAGTAATATTTGACTTCAAATAATGTTCCTGATATTTTATCATATTTAGATGAATTTGAGGATCTTGATTGGGTTAAATCAAATTATATTACTCATATTATAGAATTAATTGTAAAACAAGAAAGAGAATATTTAAAATAAAGAATTGTTGGATTAACAGCAATATTGACTAGCAAAAATTATTTACTTAATAGATAAATTATAAAGTTGATATTTAGTGTATCATCTAGAATAGGTTAATAAGAAGGTTTTTATGCTTTACATGAAATATAACAATTATTGGAAACAATGATTTTCAAGGAAGAACTTTAATAATACAATTAAATATAATATTATCCTCTTATAGTTTATTGTCATACACATTAATTATTATATTGGGGATTGGTTGGAGAATGTTGGGAATTATTAAAATTGAAATTGAATAGATAAATTGAAGAGTCACTCAAGGATGAATTTGAAAAGACAGCTTAGAAAATCTGTGATATGCTTATAAGATAATTAATAGAATTAAGTAGTTCAAATAATTAATGGTATCAAATTTTCAATGAAGTTTTATATGAAGGTGTAATTAATTTACATCCATCTGATATATTTTTTAATAAATTAATTGATTACGCTTTTAGAAAGTCTCAAGTTGAAATGGCTGAATATCTATTAATATTTATGAGAGATTAATGTAAAATTTAACCAACAATTGTTACTATTAATACAATGATTGATTAATACTTTAAAAATAATCAAAAAGATAAAGCATGGAAGACTTTTGAAAATCTTAAATTAACCTAGACAAAACCAGATAATTTTACATATACTACACTTATTAATGGATTGAAAAATTCAGATAATATGGATTTAAAATTAGCATTTTAATTATTTGAAGAATATAAATAATATAATTAGCCAGATCAAATTATTTATAATTGTCTTCTAGATGCATGTATTAATGCAGGAGATTTAAATAGAGGTTTCTAATTATTAAATGAAATGAAATAATCATAAACTATTTAATTAGATGAAATTACTTATAATACATTAATAAAAGGATGTGGAAGAAAGAAGAGATTAAATGATGCTATGAATTTATTTGAAGAAATGAAATAAATTGGTATAAAACCAAATAGAATTAGTTTTAATTCATTATTAGATTCTTGTGTAAAATGTAATAAAATGAATATTGCTTGGAGATATTTTGAAGAAATGAGAAAATAATATGGTATTTTCCCAGATAACTTTACTTATAGTATTTTAGTAAATGGAATTAAAACTAATCATTCTAATAGAGATGAATTATTAAGAGCTATAAGTCTATTAGAATAAATTTAAGAGACTGGTTAATTTAAACCAGATGAGATTCTTTATAATTCATTAATTGATGCTTGTGTTAAATTTAATGAAATATAGAAAGGTATGGAATTATTTAGAGAAATGAAAAATAAATAAATTGATCCATCATCTGTTACTTATGGAATCATAATTAAAGCATATGGAAAAATGAATGATTTGAATGGATCATTTAGAATGTTTGAAGAAATGAAATTACTAAAGATACCAATAAATGATGTCACTTATGGATGTTTAGTAGATGCATGTGTAAGAAATGATAGATTAGATCAAGCATTATAATTCATTGATTAAATGAAATAATAAAATCTTCCAATCAATACTGTTCTTTATACAACAATTATCAAAGGATTTTGTAAATTAAATTAAACTGATGAAGCAATCAAATATTTTAATCTTATGAAATAATCACCAAAAACTTATCCAAATCTCATTACTTATAATTCATTATTGGATGGAATGGTAAAGAATGGATTACTCAATTAAGCAGATAAATTATTTTAAGAATTAGTTGAATCTACAATTAAACCAGATCTCATTACTTTTAGTACTTTATTAAAAGGACATTGTAGAAGAGGCAATATGAAAAGACTTAATGAGACAGTATAAATAATGGCAAAATTTTAAATTATTCCTGATGAATCTTTGTTACAATTAATTTTAGAATCTTGTCTAAATCAATAATAGTATCATATTGGAGTTTAAATATTTGATTAATTCTGTCATTAAATTCCTTAATCTATTCAATTATTATTGATAACAATTAGATTACATAGTTAAGATAAGAAACTACTATAGGCAATTCCATTATTGAATAGATTACATCAATTAATGAATGAGAATAGAATTTAACATTAATCTTTAGAACAAACTATCAATTCCTTATTATAATATTAATTGGATGAATAAGTATATTCAATAGTTACAAATATTGTAATAATAGCCTTAAGAATGGATTTTAATCTTTCAAATTTGGAGACTTTATTATCTATATAAAATTCTTAATTAATGACTTTATTATAAAATACTACTCAAATTCCATGTAATAAATTATTACAGATATTACCATAGTTATCAAATGAAGATTAAAATATATGTAGATAATATATTAAGAAAAACAGCAAGAATGATTTAAAAGAACCATTAAATGAATAATTTGGATAAGTATTTTTATAATGTAACAACAATAATAAGAAAAATAATAAAGTTTAAGAACAATCATCTCCATTTAATAATGAAAACAAAGAAAATGTCTATCATCCAAAGCGTTAATATAATAATTATGCAAAGAATGATTTGACTGATTTCATGCCTAACAAATAATATGCAAAGAGAAGATGATTAATTAATTAATATTATAAAATCAATCATTATTAGATATTCAATAATTTCATCATTCATATGTAATATACTAAACTAAATCAATAGTTTAACAAATGTTAGATTATTACAATAATTCAATCTTTTGAGCTAAATGTTACCTATCTCTAAAGTGTAAATTAGAATATGCCAAATAAACAAAAAGTTATTAGAAAATTCAGAAATGAGATAAATTGAATTGAATTCCGACTATTAATAAACTCAAATGAATAAAAATGATAAGCAATCTTATAATCACATCTTAAATATGAATAGGATATTCATTTTTTTAATTGATTAGTTCTGATTAAGCCTAGTTGATCTTATAATGTAAGAATTCAAATCATATAAATGAGATATGACATATGCAATATCAAGAAATGAATTTATTTCAATAAAAATAAAATTTTAAGGGGAATCATTGCTCTTACTTATGGATTAGAATAAAAATATACAGAATTGTAATTATAAGTGACATATTTCTAGATAATTAAAGGTTTAATCCCTATATAACAACTAAATATATAAATAATATGTTGAATCCTCATTATCATTTCATCCACTGCACAATAAATATGATATTTTGTTGTTAAAAATAAAATAATCTGAGATTGTTATTAGAAGAGTTGGAACAAAAAATAAATTAATTTACTTATGCCTATTCAACATTTAAATTTTATTAAAATGTTATAGAAGTTGCATATCTTTAACAGGTTTACAAAATGATTAATATAGAGTAATTTAAAGTTTTGTTTTTTTCTCAAAATAAATGTCATATATTTTGTAATGTCTAGAAGTATTTTTAAAAAGCAATAATGTAAATTAACTGATATACTGTAATTGCTTGACTAACAGGTATATGATAAATAAAGAAGATGGAAAAAATGGATAGACTACTTTTTAAAGTTAAAATTTTGAAAATCCAAATTTTAAATCAAATAATAGGAGTATCAAGAATAATCAATGAACAAACTAACATATAATAGAATATAAGATAGGAATCAGATATTATTCAGAATTAAATGAAACAGGATTAAGCATAAAAACTTATTTAAAGAGAATTGTTCAAAATATAATTAAATTATAGATATCTAACATCGATGGAATAATAAATATATCTATAATTATCAAATAAGCATTTTTTGAAATATGCTCATTGAAAAATAATTATTAGATTTCATAAATTTTTGGAAGAACAATAGTAGAATCCTAAGAGTATATTGATATTGGCTTAACCAAAAACAAGATGATACTTCTCGAATCATCAAATTATAGAATGATGCAATTTAACTAAAAATGGTTATTAATCTGGTCTTCACCTTAAGAATAACTTGAACACTAAAGTGGAAATTGAAAGACATATTAAAGATCTTCAACATCTAATATGAAAGGATATTATTGATAATTTGAAAATTGGAAATAATTAGAATGAATTATGAAATGGAGGTCGAAAATTCACTATAAAAGAAATAAATTAAATGATTGATTAGGCATTCTGAATTTATTTAAATAATTATATAATTAATTAATTAAAATGTCTGCTTTGGGTATTCGTGGTGAAAGAGATCAAGGTTAAGATGTTCGTACAAGTAATGTAACTGCTGTCATGGCCATTGCTAATGTTGTCAAAACTAGTCTAGGACCATAAGGATTAGATAAGATGTTAGTGGATGAAATTGGAGATGTTGTAATCACAAATGATGGAGCAACTATTCTTAAACAATTGGAAGTTGAACATCCAGCTGCAAAGGTCATTGTTGAGTTGAGTCAATTGTAAGATAAGGAAGTTGGCGATGGGACTACATCAGTTGTTATCTTAGCTGCTGAGTTACTTAAACGAGCCAATGAATTAATTAAAATAAAAGTGCATCCAACGACCATTATATCCGGTTACAAATTAGCTGCTAGGTAAGCAGTCAAATATATTCAATCTCATCTAGTGCACAAAATCACAGAGGATGACACTGAGATTTTATTCAATGCTGCCAAGACTTCGATGAATAGTAAAATTATTGGTTCCGAGAGTCACATCTTTGCTAAATTGGCTGTCGATGCGGTCCGACTAATCAAAACTTAAGGCTTAATATCTGGTAAACCTAAGTATCCAATTCAATCTATTAATATTGTTAAAAGTCATGGATAATCATCTAATTAATCTGAATTAGTAAAAGGATATGTTATTTAATTACAAAGAGCTTCATAGCAAATGGTAACCAAAGTAAAGAATGCAAAAATTGCTTGTTTAGATATCAATTTAAACAAATTTAAAATGTAGATGGGAGTTTAAATCTTGGTTGATGATCCTTAGAATTTAGAGAAAATTAGAAAGAAGGAAATGGATGTTTTGAAAGAAAGAATTCATTTATTATTATCATCAGGAGCTAATGTGATCTTAACTTCAAAAGGAATGGATGATTTAGCTAATAAATATTTAGTAGAAGCAGGAGCTATTGGATTAAGAAGAGTTCCAAAAGAACATTTAAGGAGAATTGCTAGAGCAACAGGGGCAAAGATAATAACTACTTTTGCTAATGAAGAATCTGGAGAGTCTTTTGAAATTTCCAGTTTAGGAGAAGCTGAAGTATAGTAATATTAAAATAATAGGAAGTTTATGAAGAAGCAATTGGAGACAATGATTATATATTTTTCAAAGGAATGAAAAAGGAATAATCAGCAAGTATTATTCTTAGAGGTGCAAATGAAATGATGACTGATGAAATAGAGAGATCTATGCATGATTCATTGTGTGTTGTTAAAAGAACATTAGAATCTGGTTCAGTTGTAGCTGGTGGTGGAGCTGTTGAAATGGCTTTAAGCATTTATTTAGATGATTTTTCTAGAACCCTAGATACAATTGAATAAATTGCTGTTGCTGAATTTGCTGAAGCATTAACTTGTATTCCAAAAATTTTAGCTACTAATGCTGCCAAAGATTCTATAGATTTAATCAGCAAATTAAGAGTTTTACATAGCAAATCTTAATCAACTTAAGTAGATGATAAAGGATTTAAATACAGTGGTTTAGACTTAGTAAAAGGAGAAGTAAGACATAATTTAAGACATGGAATTCTTGAACCAACAGTGAGTAAAGTGAAAGCAATAAAGTAATAATAATAATAATATAATTTATAGATTTGCAACAGAGGCTGCCATAACAATATTGAGAATAGATGATATGATTAAATTAGAACCAAAGAAAGAATAAATGCCAGGAAGACATTGAGTTATGATAAATGATATATATATATATAATATTTTTTACAACTATATAAATTAAATATTAAGTTTATTTATCAATCCTACATTTTTGTATTTGTTTATGGTGAAATTATTTATAAACTAATTAGAAATCAATTCGAAATAGTAATATATGGAATCCAACTTATTTATTTAATTTTTATTTTTAATAATGAATCGAATTATTATTACGGAAATTGGAGATTCTATTCGTAAAGATTTAAAAGAAGATTTTACTTCAAATGACTTTAATTTTACTTAAAGTAAAAGATATCTTCGTTTTAAAACCAATACTAGTGAGTCTACTGTTGAATTAAAAAGATAAAATACAATAAATCCACTCTTATATCCATAAGAACTTGTTTCTATAGCTTAAACAAAATTATATAATATGGCAAAGCTTTCTCTTTAAGGTTAAACTGAATAATTGAAGAATTGCATATAGTAGGATCTCAATCTACCAAAAAAGAGTTCCTACTTAAATAAGAATTTAGACAAATTAGTACATAAAATTGTTGATAATTAAGGTATTTATAATATTTCTAAAAGATTGAGATCAATTTACAAAGAGAAAAAGTTAGTTGCTTAAAAAACTTTTGTTAATAAAATAAAGTGATAGAAGTAAATCGAATTATACTTTGGCTTTTAAAGATAATGAAAAAGTTTAAACTATTCTTTAAGTTCCATCTATTATGAATGCTGAAGGAAAATTAGAATAATTGTAGAGAAGATTTTAAAGACAGAATTAAGCTGATTCAAAAATGAGATAAAGATTGGCTAGTTGTTTAGAATAAAGTTAAGAAAGAAGTTTAAGTAGATTTAATATAAATTTTTCTGGTTTTAAGATATCAAGAAAGGAATTAACAAATAAAAATAACTCTTAAGTCAGAATAAGAATTTAATAAAATTGTTGCAATAAATAAATTAATACTGATTGATAAATTATATATTATATATATAAAATGAATAGACTATTGATTACAGAATTAGGAGATACTATGAGAACAGAAATGAAAAGAGATATGACTAAAACTATTAAATCTAATAGAACTATTCTAAAAACTTAATTCCCAGAAATAAAGAATAACTTTGGTAGTTCTGCTCTTTTTATGGAGATTGATAAAACATAGAATCCACTCTATTAAAAAAGTCTTTCTGATTAAGCTCTTTTAAATCTATCTAAGGTTGCCAATCTTTCTTTGTTTGGACCAAAAAATAGATAGAGTTTAGAAAATCATTTAAGAGAGGATCTATTAATCAAGAAGTAGAAGGATTATTTGAATATATGTTTAGATAAGTAAGTTGAGAAAATTCTTGATGATAAGAGTATTTAAATAGAAATAATAATTAGATTTGATGAGTAAAAGGAAAAGATAGTTACTGAACGAGTTGAAGAGATTAGAGGCTAAAGAGAAATAGAAACAGTTTCATCATTATTCTACTGAATAATCATAATTTAGTTCAATAATTGAAGATACTGATAGGGAGAATAAATTAATGTCAATAGTGAATGCTGAGGGTAAGTTATTGTAATTGAAGAGAAGATATGAAAAAAAATAATAAGAGGAATAAAAAATGAAGGAATAGGTAAAAATGAATTATTGCAAATTCAAAGATAATTAAATTATGCATATAGAGGCTTTATAAATAATGGATCATGAAAAAATGGAGAATGATGTAAAGGATATTTTCATGAATAAGGATTTATCTGAAACAAGATTTATTGAAAGATTGAATGAGAAACA